TATTTAATGATATACATCATAAAATAATGATATTTAATGATATACATCATAAAATAATGATATTTAATGATATATATCATAAAATAATAATATTTAATGATATACTTCATTAAACAATGATATTTAACAATATACTTCATTAAATAATAATATTTAATGATATACTTCATTAAATAATGATATTTAATGATATACTTCGTTAAATAATATACATCGATAACTCTAATATATATCAATATATATCAAATATCTGTTTCGATATGCATCGATAACTCTGATATATATTGATATATAACTAATGATAAAAATCGATACAAATTACTCCAAAAAATTTCCTGATGGAATTATAAACATAATATATCATTTGCAAATACAGTATATAAATAGTTAAAAATTATAATTACAACTTATTTTATATATCATCTTATTATTATAAGCTCCAGCTAATCAAAGAAGTGTGATTAATTATAAAAGAAGAAGTTATCAGATCTGATTCCTATTCCAGTCTTTTAGCTATTAGAGATAAATTATTATATACCTTTAAAGAAAAGATTATGACTAAGGTTATTATTAATTTTTGAAAAAGATCACTTGATAAGATTATAGAATATGATAAATTAAGTGATAATATATTACTAATTAGTAGTAATAATGATAATAATTTTGAAGTAAAAGAAATTAATGATTAATAAAAATTCTTATACAAATTAAATATTTTAATAAAATTTATATAAATATATTTCCTAAAATCTATATAATAAATAAAATTATTTAAATATTTGTATTAAATTACCTAAAAAATTTTTTTATTATAAGTATATTGGTATATTTACATTTTTGTACCAGATCGTATTAATAAAATATATATATAAAAATTTATATTATAATAATATTAAAGTTTAATATATTATTTATAATATTTTCTGTTATAATACTTTTAGTTATAAGACTTATACTTTTAATATTTGCTAAATTATAATTATTATTACTATTAATATAATTAAAGTTATTTAAAAATAATATATTATTATGATAAGTATTAACTATTTTAGATATAAATTTAGATAAATCACTTTGAAAGTTAAATTAAATTTCTTGAAAATAGAAGTTTTATATTCATAATATATATATTTAGTAAGAAATATTAATATATAATAATATTAAGTAACTTTATCAAATTAGATTACTTTGGCTTAAGATTCTTTTAAAATTATTAATATTAAAATAAATAAAATAAGATAGTTAATAAAAGATAGATATCAAGTTTTATCTAACTTAACAAAGCAAGATAATTTATCTTACATTATTAGAAGACTAGCTTAAAAGTGAAGTTGATTTCTGATAATCATTTTATATTAAAAACTATAAAAATTGAGCATAAAAATCTTTATTAATCTCTTAATTAAATATACTTATTTTATAATTAAGAAATAAATTTGATAACTGATATATATTTTTTTATTAATAAAAAAGATAATAATATAATAACTAAAATATTAAAAATAATTTATTAATTTGAATCTTATTAATTTTCTTATTATATATTATATAATCAAAGTAATATAAAAATAAATAATATTATAAATATCTTTTCTGATATTATATATAATAAGTAAAATTATAATATTATTTTTTATATTATATATATTATGCAAATATAATTACATAAAATTATTTAGTAATACATAATTAAATAATCTTAGCTATACATAAAAAAATAAGTATTAATTATAAAGAGATTATTAAGAATATTATTATTATCTGTTTTATTTCTGAAATTATTTATTATATTAATCAAATTATATTAATAATACAGAAAAATAAGTATTTTAGACATATTAATATTCTTTTTTTTTTATTATAGATTATCTTAATAAATTTATTAAAATTTTATTCTAGTAAACTTAAGAGAATAATGATAAAAAAATATGAATTAATAGATAAAATATAATTTATTATATAATTAATTTTCTTTAAATTTTTCAAGTTTATTAGATCATATAATAAATTATATTTTTATGATATAAATTTACTAATAATTTATTCTTTATTATATAACTTAGAAGCATATTTCAAAATTATTAAACTTAATAAAAAATAAATCAATTCAAAAAAAATAGCTCTTAACTTTCATTAAAAATATATCTTTGTAATTAATTTTAATAATGAGATTCTTGAACAGATATATAAGTTTTTCTATTCTATTTAAAAGTTAATTATAAGTAAAGTTATAGTTATGAATACAAGAATAATGAAGAAAAAGCTGTTATCAGATTTATAAATATCCCAATATAATTATATATTTTTTCATTATTATTTGTTTTTATGTCAACACATCCTTCATCAATATATTTTTAGTTTTAATAAGCTATTAATGATTGAGATTTGGAACAAATTCTAATGAATATTTAAAGAGGTTAGTTTTAAAATATATGAATATTATGAAATGATTAAAAAAGAAGTAGAGATATGAAGACTTCAAATTGGTGAACTTATGAAAAGAATGTGAGATAAGTATTAGAAAATTGAAAATGAAGACAATATAGAAGCAACTAAGATATTTATTACATGTTTAGATAAATCATTGACTTCAGTTTTTAATAATAAAAAATATTTCTTAATTATTTGTGTTCACTAATTTTAATTGTCTTGTTTGCTATTATTATTCGATAATATGTTCAGCCAATAATTACTTTTCACATGATACGATCCGGATCGACCCCCCAAAATGACTCGTATTTTACCCTGTCGTAAATTTTTTGTATTTGTGGTTCGTTTATAACACACCCTACACCCGCCATATATCGTGTTGTACAGCATAAAATCGGAATTTTGATTTTTCCACAACAACGACCAACTTACCTAACAATTGAAATGATTGAATCACATCGAGACTCAAAAGCTAAATTTATTAAAGCTTATCCCGGCGAAGATATTGAGAAAGTAGTCACTGAAAAAGGAAGATCAAAGGTATCCCTAGAACAGCAAAATCAAGATGAAATTAATAATGCTCAAGAAACATTAATCAAAGAAGAGAATAATAATAATAATAATAATAATAATAATAATAATAATAATAATAATAATGATAATAATGATTATGATGATGATGATAATAATAATAATAGTAGTAGTAGTAGTAGTAGTAGTAATAATAATGATAACGAAGAGGAAAATGAAGGAGGAGAAAAAGAGTCATCTTCAGACAATAAATTATCAGAATCTATTAATGCGACTGAATCATCAAAAGCAATATTGCCTAACCAAGAGGATGATCCTGCCAAAGACGAAGTCGAAACAAGAGAAAAAGATCTATCTTCAAACAATATATTATCAGAACATATCGATTCGGCTGAATCATCAAAACCAGAATTATTTAACCAAGAAGCTGAACCTTCCAAAGATGAAATTGAAACAAAAGAAACAGATTCATCTTCAAACAATAAATTGTTAGAGCCTATTGACGTGGCTAAATTATCAAAATTGGTATTGGATGAACCCGAACAAAATGAAAATAATGCAACGATCCCAGAAATTACATTTCAAAATGCTTTTCAGCCAAATCCAAAATTTGTGGTTGCTAATACAACTTCAATTTCCTCGGATGTAACTCCAATTGTTTCACCTAATAACGCAATGGCAGAACATATACATAATGCAGCACTTGTAACAGAAACGCCAATATACAACAATCCTAATAATAGGAATCTAGTACCAGTTTATCCAGCTCATATCGATTTACCACCTCAGTTTCATGAAGAGACAACAAATGCATCACCAACACCTTTTTCTGAATACTTTACTCCAAACTTTGTCTCGGAGGATAATTCTTCCTCCATAACTTATACTTCTGACCCCCTTGAATATCCTCATCAACCTCGCTATCCACCATCAACTGGAATTTCACGCACACAACAAAAATTGATGCTTCAACGGCAACATTTTCTCGCAGACGATGAGAATTTCCTAATTCATCCACGTAATCAATTACGATTGACCAAAGTAATCGAAAGAATAAATAGGGAACACGCTTCCATATTGTTATATCGTGATCCAATGATGGAAAGTATACAGAGAGTGATGGGGAAATACGCAAGGAATCATCCAGAAGTGTTGGACGAAGATTTTGGCACATCTTATGATGATAATAAAGATTGGGAAAGAAATAAAAATAGCCTCGTTCCTTCTAGTAGTAGTAATAATAGTAATGAAAGCGTGGGACAAAGTGCTTCTGCCTCTGCTAATATTATTTCTGCCACCCTCGCCGAATCTGGTAAACTCAAAGGAAAATAGACTTTTATTTTTTTCTCATATGATGATACTCTTGCAACAATTCTCTTCATTTACAGGTAATAAAAAATACTGTCTCCAAAAGTATTTTTCTTAGTACTGTACAATACAACTATCTTATCACTCCTTCCTTTTCTATTTGTTTATGGATTGAATATAATTTAATTTTCTAATACAATTAATTAAATTTCGCGCAATAAGAACAATAGAGCAGCGTATGGAACTGGGTCAGCCGTCGTTCTTCCTGGACCGAGTATCGATAAACCAAACATTTATAGTTTTGAGACGCCTCATGATCATATCTATCAGGAATTGAAAGGCTAAAGATCCAAAGTTGCGGAATTATTACTTCTGTAATAAACAATCTATTGTTTACTTTAATATTATTTCATCATTAAATTTCTGTACAAATAATTATGCAAACTGAATTCATATCGATTTAAGAGAATAAAGCGCCAAGCCAACCAAATAATAATTAATATTATTTTATCATTAAATTTCTGTACAAATAATTATTATGAAAAACTGATTTAAGAGAATAAAGCTCCAAGCCAATCAAATAATAATTAATTTAAATAAATTTGGATTAGCGATAAGAGCTTTTGTCCCTTACCCAAAAGTACTAAATAGTTACAAAGATAGAAATATTTCTATCTATAAATAAAATAACCTCATTATAAGCAATATCAGAAATAAATACAAAGCACCATTAATCCAATTCTAACCGATTGTCCGCGTACATTTCTTCTTGGTCTTCATCAATTGCCATATTATCAAGTCCCTCTGGACCGTCATGATTTCGAACGACAAGTATGTCGGTGTTTTCAGGAGTAGTGGTGACTTTTGCGATTTCACCATTGCGAATTCCTCCATCTTTATTTAATTAATTATTAATAAATCATTAAAACAAAAAATCCATTCAAATTTAAAAAAAGAAAAAATTTACATACCAATTAAAAGTTTACTTAAAGGATTCAAAATTTTGGCTTTGATTAGCCTATTTAATGGTCGAGCGCCATAAACCGGATCGTATCCGTGTTCTGAAAGCCAGTCTAGAGCTTTTTCATCTACTTGTAATGTTATACGTCGATCCTCAAGACGTTTAGCAACACGATTCACTTGGATTTTAACAATCGTATGAAGATCTATTGAATTATGGATAAAATAAAAAATGCATTTAATAATATACATTGTGAGGATAAAAGACAGTAAAAAATTATATGAATAGATACGTTGACGTCCAAGTGGCGTGAATATAATGATGTCATCCAAACGATTCAGAAACTCTGGTCGAAAGTGTCTTCTGACGTCGCTCATAACAGCTTCTTTAACAGTATCATCAATTTGATCTGTGGTTAATCCTTGTAGATGATAATAGCCTAAATTACTGTAATAATAGTGAAAAAGTTATTGAACGAAGAATATGTTATTTTGTTATTTTTGTAATTTATACCTTGTTAAAATTATGACTGTATTACTAAAATCAACAACACGACCTTGTCCATCTGTAAGACGGCCATCATCCAATACTTGTAATAAAATATTTAAAACCTGAAGATGTGCTTTCTCAACTTCGTCAAATAGAATTACGCTATATGGACGTCTACGAACAGATTCTGTTAACTGACCACCTTCTTCATGACCAACATAACCTGGTGGAGCGCCAATTAATCGAGCGACTGAATGTGATTCCATGTATTCTGACATATCAACTCTAATGATAAATTTTTCATCATCAAAAAGTTCCTGTGCAAGTGCTTTACTTAATTCTGTTTTTCCCACTCCCGTTGGTCCCAAAAATAGAAAACTACCTAATGGTTGATTCTCTCTGGCTAATCCTGCACGACTTCGTAGGACTGCATCCGCAACTGCTTGCACTGCTTCATCCTGTCCAACAACACGCTTATGAAGAGTATCAGACAATGTGAGCAATCGTTCAGCTTGTGTCTTTGATAATCGTGATACAGGTATTCCAGTCCAACGCGCTACTACTTCCATAATCTGTTCTGGCCCAACCACATCCGTAAGGAGATGTTCATCAGGCAAAACATTAGGATTGGAAGCTCTCTCCACATCTTGCTTCTCCTTCTCATTTGTTAATTCTTGAATCCGTTGCTCAACTTCGGGTATAGCAAAATATCGAAGATCAGCAGCTTTATCAAGTTGATAATTTGTTTCTGCTTCTATAGCCTTTGCTTTCAAAGTATCAAGTTTTTGCTTAAGTTCACGAAGTTCATCAAATCGACCTTTATCAAGTTCATATTTAGCTTTTAGAGGCCTTAGTTTCTCTTGTATACCAGCCATTTCTTCTTTAACTTTTGATAATCTTTGACGACTGGCCTCGTCTTTTTCTTTAGCAAGCGCTGTCGCTTCGACTTCAAGTTGCAGATGACGACGTTCTAATTGATCAATAATCTCAGGCCGGGAATCAAGTTGAACACGAGTATTAGCGCAAGCCTCATCCATTAAATCTATGGCCTTATCAGGTAAAAATCGATTTGTTATGTACCGTCCTGACAATTGGGCAGCAGCCACCAAAGCAGCATCAGCAATTTTTACACCATGATGAGATTCATAACGTTCCTTTAATCCACGTAAAATACTTATGGTGTCGACCACTGAAGGTTCGCCAACTAATACTTGCTGAAATCGACGTTCGAAGGCTGCATCTTTTTCCACATATTTACGGTATTCATTTAAAGTGGTAGCACCAATACATCGCAATTCACCACGCGCCAACATCGGTTTAAGTAAATTTGCAGCATCCATCGATCCCTCCGCTTTTCCTGCACCTAGAACTAAATGAATCTCATCAATGAATAAAATTATTCCTCCTACTGAATCTGTGACTTCTTTCAAAACTGCTTTCAAACGTTCTTCGAATTCACCACGATATTTGGCACCAGCTAGTATTTTATACGCGGCCACGTATAGTTAATGTAATGATAAATTGATAACGAATACTATGATGAAAAAACAACAGAGTTTAACTCACCAATCAAAGCACCCATATCTAAAGAATATAATTTGCAATCCAAAGTTCTGGGCACATCTTTTCTCACAATACGCTGGGCAAGTCCCTATCAAGATCATATTAAGCATAACGTTCCTCAATTAATTCTTTATATAAGCTGATGAAAAATGTAATCTTTTGAGGTAGTCCTGACTTACTTCAACAATCGCAGTTTTACCTACGCCGGGTTCACCAATTAACACGGGATTATTCTTTGAAAGTCAAATTCAAATATTATAAGTTTATCAAAATGTCAAATATAAGCGTATACTTATTTGTGCAAGTAGTAAAAGCCAAAATGGATATTCTGGTAACTTGCACAAATATGTAAATCACCATGAATTATAACAATACCTTTGTCCTCCTTGCCAAAACACGAATTACACGGCGAATTTCATCATCTCGACCAATTACTGGGTCAAGCTTTCCACTTTTCGCAAGCTCGACCAAATCAACCGCATATTTACTTAAAGCTTCGTAATTCTCATCGGAGCTCTTTGACTCAACTCGCCGATTACTGTGAAACATAACTATTTTTCAATTTGTTGTTTCACAAGGATAAAAACGGCAATAATCGAGAAAATCTTTAATCAACTTACCCTCGAACATGTGTAATAGCAACTTCCAACGCCTTTTTAGTAACTCCTGCTTCGGAAAGCGCTTGCGAGGATTGTGGATCCTCAGTCAACGCCAAAATAAGATGGTCTTGCGAGATATAACTATCCTTTTGTTTTTGCTGGATATCATGCGCGGCCCGAAGTACTTTACTGGCTTGTGGACTAATTGATATATCAGCCGGCGCGGGTTCCTGTCTTGGAAGTCTCACAAGCAGTTTCGTAAAGTTCCTCTCTACCGTCAACGGATCTCCTCCAGCCTTATTTATAAGACTCTTAAAAAGTGAATCGCCATCCGTGCTGTCTAAAAGTGCGACGGCGATGTGAGCTGGTTGTACTTGTACATGAGAATATTCTCTCGCAGTTTCTATAGCGGTTTGAATTGTTTTTTCTGCCTTATCAGTAAAATTGTAATTATTCATAATTTGCTATTCAAAAATCACTGGGAATACTCACTGGGAATATTTGACCTAAATTTTTTAAATGCGTTATTTATGTATGTTGATAATCTCACGTTTAGTCATTCCGGAAGATTCTTGACGTATGAAGATCATACCAGCCTCTTTGCCAAAATTGGGCAAAATCTAACCTGGCTTGGATGGATGATTTTGCATGGCTGGTTTTTATTTATATATATTTCAAGTTCAGTTTCTTTGAATATTATTATGTAGCACACTTTTTGGCAATAAATGAATTTTTCTTGTAAAAATGGGAGCAACAGATAGCAAACTTGCTTTTCGAAAAGGAGTTTTTAGATTATTTGAAGAACGTGTAAGTCTATTTTCTTAAAGCTGTATTTTTACTAAAATCATTGCTAAAATCGAAAGCTCTCCTTTTGTTAGAATATTCCTGCCTCCGATGAATACTGGTCTCAGGTACAGATTTCTTTTACTGCAACTTGTTATAGCTGCACCTTCTTACAGCTTATAAAAGTTTTTTTTGTAGTTTTGGCTTCTTCCCGAGTCAGCTGACGACGTTTTCTCTCTCGTGGGGGCTTCTGACATTAGACGCGTAAGAGACCACGCGAGAGAGAATTTGGAGACGCTTATATATAAGGTCTGTAGTGTACTTTTCTATAACAATAAAATAAGGATGTTTGAATTTGCAAAAGGAATTTAGAATGTATAATTTTTTATTATAAAGGTTATTGACCGCCTATTTCGTATCGTACGAGCGCCGGATTTTCCATCATCACAAAACTCGACAAGTCAACTTCTTAATTGTATACGGATTCTCACGCGCATTATACCATTTATATATGAATCAGAAGAAATGAATGAATGGGAAGATAAAATATTTTGGACATCACATCCTGCAAAAAAGAAGAACAAGAATACTTCTACTAATAGTGGCAGCAACAACGTTAACAATAACAATAATAATAATAATAGTAACATTAACAATAACAATAATAATAATAATAGTAGTAATAATAATAGTAACAACAACAACAATAATGTGGAAGTAGTGAAACCTCCGGATCAAGAAGAGAATGTAGTTGTTGAAAATATTACTGATGATAAAAATATCGACAGCAGTAATAACAATAATAATAATAATGGTTCTGGGAATGAAAACGGAAGTGTGAATAGGAAAAAAAATCAGGTGATAATAATTTGAATGAATTTTTAAGTTATTTCAAATTAATATACCAATACTATTTGGGGATCCAATTATTACTTTGAAAGATCTTCAAACACAATTATTATTTAATATTAACGCAAAAGATTCAAGTGAAAGATCAACCATTAACAAGAAATTAAAAAGCATAGTTTTGAAATTTATCTTTATCTTGTCCGATTATTTATTATAATTTTCTATCTAAACAAATCAACTATATCACTAACCTGGCTATAGGAAATGAGAACAGAAGCTAAAGAAACTGAACCTCAATTATCTTCGCCCCTCGGAGAACGATTATTATCAATGATAATTGATCTCTTATTTTTATCCGGTTTTACGTTACCGACAAACATCGCCACGGAAACACGAGTAAATTACGTGATTTGGTAAGGACCGCGTCTTGAAGGGTAGAGTAATGGGTAATGTGTTTCGGTTTAAAATGGAAAAATAATTATTCATTAATATGCAAGGGAAACTGGAGTAGGTTCCACAATACCCATTGGCTCGACAAAAGAATACGATTTGAATAAAACTGAAACTCTGCGACTTTTGTTGGTTCTTCTTTCCAAATCGATGTATTTATCAGGAGGTATATGTTATTTCTTATCTGTAATGATTCTTTTTAATTTTATTAAAATGAACATTATTAAACTTCGCGATATTAGGTAAATTTATGGCCAAAGAAAGCAAATGTCTAAAATTTTTAGCACTTAAATCGGAACGTAAAGTTGTTTTGGCATTGCTATGCAGTTTATTAAACACAGCGGTGAAGTATAATCCTGCAGGATGGGGTGTTCCATACAACTACATGGTATTCGCTGATGCACGTGAAACGCTTGTCACTTTGTGCTTGCAAGTACTGTTAGTTCTATTAGATTACAGAGCACCAGCAAACCGTGTTAACACGGATCCTATTACGGGAGAAGTACCTAAAAGAGTTGCTTCGATAGAAACTACCAATAATGAAGCACCATTTCATCCCTTGAGCCCTACCTCTTCTAGCCCTTTGGAAACACCGACTCCCCGAACAAGAAATTCTCATCAGCAAGATGATGCAAGCGTGACCAATAATAATAATAATAATAATAATTCTAGTGTTCCGAAAGGACATTTACCTGCCACCACGGATAATGCCTTTAGATATTATACCTCGAAATTACATAGAACGCAGGATTTTCAGTTTCTAATGGATGGCATTTATCGTATTTTGAGCAATCCTATGCAAGTGAGTTTATAATGGTCGACCACGTTCTTGGATTTTTCCTTTACATTGCAGGATAATCAAAAAAGAAATATTTGATTTTCTAATTTTGAAAAAATTAAAATTGACCCTGTATAATTTATAGGCAAATAATACGTATTTACCTGGTTCTGCGAAGCCAATTCGGTGTCATCCGGAGATGTTGATGCTTTGTTGGAAGCTATTAGAAATTAATAAAGTAAGCATTCAAGATGAATTTATAAATATATAACTTTCATTTAATTAACACCGAGTTAATTTTAATATAAATCTTAGAGATTTCGTACATATTTATTGGAAACTGATAGAGTTTTGGATGTATTGATTGTGTTATTATATTATGCTTTAGAAAATAAACAAGATCTAGGTATTATTTATCACGCATTTCTTACATCATCTTGAGTGAATCTTTGTATTTATAGAAAATATTTTTCTAAATTTTTATTTAAAAACAGCTCAAAGCGGCTTAGTGCGTATGTGCGCTTTCATACTACAAACTATATCTGCTGATCGTAATTTTGGTGTCAAATTAAACAAAACCTTTGAAGGCCACAGCTCGTTACCTAGCAATGTTCGCATTGCTGCGTTTCATGGCACTTACGCAGATTTTATGATTATTGTAAGTTTTATTGATTGATTGATCTTAATTTTGGATCTAATTTTCATTCTTATTTCTATTTTGATCAATCTAATTATGACAATCAGTCAATCTATGCGTTAATATCTACTACGCGCGGAACTTTGCATTCTCTTTATCCAGCATTAATCCTAACCATCGCAAACGTATCGCCTTATTTGAAAAATTTGTCAGTTGTAACCTCTACCAAACTAGTGCAATTGTTTGTATCATTTTCCACGCCGGGATTCTTGTTATCCGAAGAAGGAAATCACCGCTTGACTGGGTACATGTTGGAAGCATTCAATAATATTATCCAGTATCAGTTTTCAGGTTCGTTGTGATCTTTTTATTTTGATGATAATAAGGATGATGATCGGCAATGCAAATCATTTAGATTGTGCAGATGCATTTATGAAAGTATATTTCTTTTTGGGTATGCACAGATAATCCGCATGTAATATACGCCATTGTAAGAACCCATAAAAAGTTTGAAGATCTTGCGGAATTCACATTGGCAAAAGGTTTACTAGAAATAAAACGGATTCAAGCAGCCAAAGAAGAACGAAGAAAACAAGCACGTGGATCAACAAAACAGGTGGTAGAATCTGACACTAAATCTCTATCATCCTCAACACCATCATCACCTCTCTCTCAAGACGCGGGAACCACAAAACCTTCTTCAAGATCCGACAGTATTAACAGTCGACAGCACGGTAGTAACGCGACACATCATAGCGATGAACATGACGAATTTAATGAGAAGGCAGAATTAATGCATTCCTCTATTCATTCTGATGATAGTCATGGTGGTGGCGACCACAATCACAATGAAAATGATAATGATGAAGGATCTGGACATTTATCAGAGAAAGCACGTGGAAAGCTGCCAGAAGGGGTGAGTCCTGCTGACCGTAGGCAAAGCGGTGACAGTTCACGAAGTCAGAATATAATTGTTCCACCATTTGCAGTTGGAAAATCCGGATTCGTGCCAACAGAAGATTGGGTATCTATTAAGAGTTTCAATCATTCTTCAAGCTTATCATAATAATCATTAACAAATCAAATTCTTTGAAGGTATCCTCGTGGCATTCTAATCTACCATTGGGTACAATAATCATCCTCCTATCAGAGCTGGTGCCACAAGTTCAATCACTATGCGGCGCGCAATCACACTCCTCCGAACAAGAAGTACTTGAATTCCTCAGATCAGTGACCCTTGTTGGGATCTTACCACAGCCTCAGGCAGTGTCCCCGCATCATTTTTTATGGTCGGAAGCGAGTGTTGTGTGGTTCTCGAGTCTCTTATGGGGTCAAATATATCTGGCCGGATCGAATTTGGGTGTATTTAATGGAACGCAGGTGAAACTTTTCTTGATAAAAACTACGATTAAAGAGGATAGGATTAAGAATGCATTAGGGACTGCGGTGGGTGGAGTTCAAGGTGTTATTGGTCGAATTACTACTGCGACTCATACACCACCAGCAACGGATGCAAGTTCTAATTCCATCTCTAATACCAACGGTCCTGCTAATAATCCTACAGTTAATCCTACCGCTTCATGATCCTCATGATTGTATTATTTGCACATGTGGCTGAACAAAAAATTACTAAAAGCGTTCGTAAACATAAATTTTTGCATTTTTATTATTTAAATGGCACCATTATAATATGTGGTACAACAAAAAATGTTATTTTATTTTATTTATTACATTTATTTATTACATATGATATCCATAATAAAAAAATTTGTTTGTTGTTCATTTGTCATTTAAATATCATTTTGCATTGTGGTAGATCTTTTTGGTTCTTTGAATACCTACTCACACAAAAAGATAGGCATATTTATTGCACAGAAAAATCCCTAATATCCTTTACCCTTACTTTCATCTTTCCTTCTTCACTCTTCGTCGCCAACCCTCTTAATCCTTTACTTACTATAATTCCTTCTTCTCTTCCACCCGTTACCTAAAAATACGCATTTCATATATAAAAAAATTAAAAAAAACCATAAAAAATATTTGCCCACCTCTCTCTCGCTTATTGTTAATATTTTATTATTAATAATAATTATTATTGTCTTCACTGCGCAACAAAGTCGGGGTAATTTACTTGTTACGTCGTCGTCTCTCGCGCACGTATTTTCTTCCCCTTTCTACCAAATTAGTTCCTCTCCCCCATTTCTCTAATTCTTTTCTTCCGTCCTGGTGTCTCTGAATTACGATCAAAATAACTACTACAATACCACTGTTTCCGTGTTGTTGATATTTTGGAAGAAAGTTTTATCCATAGGGTTATCAATCATTATTATTTATTATTAAAAAATTTCGTTATTATATATTAGTTTCTATTCTCTTTATTATACTCTTTCTCTTTAAATCTTTTGCTACAAACGAAAGAACTGTAAAATTTTTTTGCACACGATACACGTATAAATTTATAATTTGGAACAAGTAATGACCAGAGAAGAAATGACAGAACCCGACGCTTTCCCCTATGATAACTTTGGTTCTGGTACCGAAGATGCAGTTTCTTGCTTTAATAATAATAGAATAGCCGTTGTTCCGGGTTCGAACGCCGTAACGGCGGTAGACGTTAGCAATGAGAGTGTTGCCGTAACAACTACCTCTTCTACGGCTGTCACAACGAACAACGGTACCAGCACCAACACGAACTCACACTCTTTATTTGAACACACTACACCTTTCATCCAACCTACTGATCAAACAGTTCCCGAGAGTACAAACGAAGAAGCACTTAATGAAGAGACAACAAATGAGGCCCCTGATTCGGGGGACGTGTCCAATTCTCAACTTACCCTTCGAGCTTTAGTTTCTACAAAGGAAGCCGGAGTTATTATTGGTAAGGCTGGTAAAAATGTAGCGGAACTCCGTGAGACCACTGGTGTGAAGGCTGGCGTGTCTAAAGTTGTGCAGGGTGTGCCTGATAGAGTTTTGTCTGTTGCTGGAACTTTGGATGGTGTATCAAAGGTATAGATTAAATGATTCATTGATGATCATCTTTTGTAATATTGATGAGGATAATTAATGCTTAGTTTAATTTCATGAATTTTCGTTAAAATAAACAGGCGTATTCTCTTATCGCGCAAACTCTGCTTGAGAATCCTGTTGGTGCTAGTCCTAATTCTACTCCTATTACTCCACCTCCGAATGCATTCACTTCTGTTCGCTTGCTCATTTCCCATAATCTTATGGGAACAATCATCGGTCGTCAAGGACTCAAGATCAAACATATTCAAGATGTTTCAGGTGCTAGAATGGTAGCTACGAAAGAGATGCTTCCTCAGAGCACCGAAAGGGTTGTTGAGGTTCAAGGAACCGTTGAAGCTATAAAAGTTGCTGTCTGGGAGATTGGCAAATGTCTGATTGAAGACAATGAACGTGGTATTGGTACTGTGCTCTATAATCCAGCTATTCGTGTTACCACATCATACACTGGCACTCGACGTACAAGTGATTACACTCAACGTACTGGCAATGGTACCGATTTCACGAGACCAACTCGCAGTAATAGCAATACCTCTGTTACTCCCAGTAATAGTAACAACAGTGATTATCATAATAATCGTCGACCTTCCTCTTTCGATGCAGCAGTAGTTAGAACTCAAAACATCTCAATTCCCGCTGATATGGTTGGTTGTATTATTGGTAAAGGTGGTTCAAAGATTTCTGAAATTCGTAGACTTTCCGGTTCACGTATCAGCATTGCAAAGACGCCTCACGATGAAACTGGCGAAAGAATGTTTACTATTCAAGGAACTCAAGAATCAAATGAGAAAGCATTGTTTCTTTTGTACAATCAACTTGAAATGGAAAAGGAACGTCGTTTGAATGCTACTTCGACAGGCGGAGATTCGGACGCATGAATTAATTCAAATGAAATTTCTGCGTAATTTTTTCTCTATACTCTTGGCAATTATCATATCGTCACAAATTTTTCTCGTCATTTTTCTAAGCTTGTGATGTTATATCACCAATAACAAAACAAGAAATATATGTGTGCGTGTGTGTGTATATGTATGTATATATTATTTACTTAGAAGACATCCATTTATGGATATCGAACATTGGACTTTATATATTTTTTATCTTATTTAGGAGGACAAACGAAATTCTTCATTACAAATTTTATTAGTTTACTATTTTATTATAACATTTTTTTATCCTCTACAAAAAAACAATACACAATTTTTTTCTCCCCTTGTTTTCCATTTGTCTTCCAAGATTGATCATCTTGGCCTCCACATATATATATATATAACATCAACTCCGTGATTTCATGTTGGATTATATATCAATCTAGGCCTTTTTTTAGTGTACTTATCAGCGAACTTTATGTAAGAATATTTTCTTAGAGATTGTATACTTCGACATTGTAAGTACGCGTTTTGGGTGAAAAACCATAATTATTCATCCGAAAAAAGCTACTCTCCTATATCCCTTCTTACACTTACATTTTGACCGCAGTTGTATAATGTTCTTCATTACCGATTTTTATATATTTTTCACATTTATATTCTTTTTCCAATTATTTATATTGGAAAAGAAATATATTTCTTCCTCTCAAACATTTTTCTATTTCCTTTCTTCTTTTTTTTCATTTACTCTTTTACTATACACACGATCCGACTTACATACAATCAAGACACACACACCCTTATATTTCTCTAACAACTATTACTCGAACAAATACACATCTATACATCTAGTACCAAAAAAATTCCGTAGACATATTACTCTAATTAAAAAATATCCTGATAAAAATATAAAAAATATATAACCAATACACTTTCTCCTCTTTATCTCTACCACACAAATATATCGTAAAAATTTTTGCTTTAACAAAAAATGAATTGTGTCGTGATGAATGATATTTGTACCATTCAATTACTTTGTGACTAGTGCTAGCGTTAACGTTAAGTGTTTTAAGATTCTCCGAAATCCAGCTTATCAGTGCAGTCAATCGCGGTCTATAGTATCCTCCTGTAAAAATTTAAACCTTAATTTTAACCTCAAGGTTAGTAATTAGTAGCTCAAGTTTTAAAGGAATTACACTGTGGATTTATTTGTGAAACAAATATTTAGTCTAAAAAAGTCGGTTTAGTTCTATTTCTATTGGATTAGTCTTGACGACGTGTTTCAACTTTAGAGGCAAAATTTTCAAATTTGACTGGTAACTTTGTATATTTATTTTTATATTAATAACATTTTTAAAAATTAAAACAGATCGTTTAATTTAATTAGAAGAAAATTTATAATAATTTTGCAATTATAATAACTCAGAAAAAAATATTTTCTCTTTAATAATAAAAAAATCAATTCTTTTCTAATTATATTGCTGAGTTTAACAATTAATAATCTTTATAAGAATATGACTATAATGGGATTTTATAATAAATATTATTATAAAAAAGATAATAAGTTACAAAAAAAACTGGATATTTTATTTTGTTATATTCAATAAATATTTATTTAAATCATATAAAATTTTAAACATATATACTTGATAATCTAGTAAAGTTTTATTTAAATAAAAATTTTTTTTGAAAAAAAATGATTATAAAAATTTAAATTTTTTTTTGTTTGTTATTTAATGAATATTTATTTAAATCATATAAAATTTTAAATATATATGCTTGATAACTTAGTAAACAAGTTTACTTAAGTTAATTTATAAAATTTAATTATAATAATTTTTTAAGTTTTTTTATTATTAAAAATTTAATTATAAAAATATAAATTAAAAAAATTTAATAAGATAAGTATTTAAGTAATCTTAAGTAAAGTTATTTATCATGTTTTCAAGTATATATATTTAAATTTTTATGTTATTTAAATAAATATTTATGAAGAAAATTAAAATATCCAGTTTTTTTGTAATATGCTATATAAATAAGATATATTATTAAATCAAAAATAATTTTTCAAAAATATATAATTTTATATAACTGATTTTTCAAAAAAGTATGTTATAATAATAATAATTATAAAGAGAATTATTTGATTAATTTTGATATATTTTCTTATTTATTATATAATTTTAGTCTTTGCTTCAGGTTATTTATTTGAGAAAAACTATATCCTTTCTCTTTTAGTATTTTAAAAAGTGAATCATTTTCTATAGTTGCAAAATAATAAATAACATAAATTGTTTAAAGCCTGAAATTTAAAATATTAGATTCAAAAAAAGCAATCAATTTCAATCTATAACTAGCCTATGACAAGAAATATCATTTTTTTAAAAAAAATAAATTACAAAAAATTTGCAAGTGCCTCAGTCTGAAAATGAAGTTTACAATTATCAATGATCGTTTGCAAAGAGATTCCATTCATCACATTCTCCAGCTCATATAGAGTAAGATTAAGTCGATGGTCTGTAACTCGATTCTTTGAAATAATTATTATTGTTAACTTTAGACTTAGGCCATAATATAATAAATCAACTTAAAAAAATCATACCTGTGGATAATTATAAGTACGTATTTTTTCTGATCTTTCAGCAGTTCCGATCTATATTTATAATAAGTTATTAATGAAAGATATAAAAAAAATTTCATTATGATGATCAGAAGCCAAACCTGCTGCCGACGTGAATCTATTCTTTCATTATGCAACTTATTTCGTTCCATTTCATATAATTTTGCACGTAAGATTCTTAATGCTTTAGCTTTATTCTGTACAATGAATCTACTATATAAATATTTAGAGTAAAATAAAATTTGTTTTATTAGCTATACATTAACATTACCTTTGGTTGAGAGCGTTCATCCTGAATGGCAACTACCAAACCAGTGGGAAGATGTGTAACTCGAGCAGCACTCTCAGTTTTATTCACATGTTGACCACCTTTACCACTGGCACGATAATAATCAATTTTTAAATCTGAATCTTTGATATCCACTTCGACCTATCAGAATCATGAAAATACAAAATTAAAATATATGAAATATTAAATATTATAAATCTGCAAATATAAATTTTTTTAAATACATCTGTTGCTTGTGGAAGAATTGCCACCGTGATGGTACTTGTGTGCACGCGACCTTGATTTTCCGTAGCGGGAACGCGTTGTACACGATGCACGCCGGATTCATATTTCATATTTCCAAATACTGCCATACCTGTTATTGAAGCTGTTGCTTCCTATATTATCAATAATTAATGGTTATTATAAATATTCAAAATATGGGTAAAAGATAGAATTTCAAAATTAATCTTATTTGACATACTTTCATCGCGCCTATTGAATCCTCGGATATACTCAAAATTTCGAACCTCCATTTTTGTAAAAAAGCATATTTCTCATACATTCGTAAGATTTCACCAGCAAAAATTGCTGCCTCGTCACCACCAGCCCCTAAGAAAATGAATCATCCGATTATTGATCATAAATAATCATGGAAAAAATACAAATCAATTATAAGAACTACCAGCTCGAATTTCGAGAATTGCGCTTCCTTCATCTGCACTATCTTTAGGAAGTAATTCGGTGACAATAGTTCGTTCTAACTCACGAATTTGATCTTTTGTTCGTTTGTATTCTTCCTGTGCCATAGCCTTTAAATCCTGATCGTTTTTGGAATCAGCTATCATTTGTGAAATTTCAAGCAATTCCTATCAAAGAATAAGGTGACTTAAAGTAAATAAGAGAAGTATAATGCTAAATAAAGAAATAATTTAACCCATACATTTTGTACGGTTTTTAGCTCTTTATATGGCTCAATGATATTTCCAATATTGGAAAGTTCTTTTGATAGCGAGGCAAATGCTTCTGGATCTTTGATGGTCGAATCCTTGGAAAAGACGAAATTTTGTGAATGACTAATTACATTCCATTTATATCAAAACCATGTTTTTAATATAAATTATTAATCCCCACTTTTTCATCAAACTCTTTCAGTAATACAGAATGTCTCAATACTAATCCTTCTAGCTTTTTACGTATGTTACTGTTCAACAAAGAATCCTTTAAAATTAACGATGATGAATCGGTCTCGTTGGTGACACCTTCGTGTATTTTGTTTATTCACAACAGAAAATTTATTTTGAAAAAGAAACTTTATCATGATCTTTTATTTAAATACGTACAAAAATGGTGATCTTTAACATGATCATTCTTGATCAATACCTGTAGAATAGTACCGTACATACAAGGATAATCGAGACAATTGGTTTCGATTATAATTAAGATATTTATTTTGGATAACCACTGGTCTCTTTGTAGGTGTTAAAGTTACTGTGCTTGAAGTCGAAACTAAAAATCTACAAAGTCTAGAATGTTGCATCTTAATTTTTTTTGACATGATCAACCAATGAGAATCACCAAATAATTACAGCATTAAAATGGATATATTTTACATTTTATCTCAACACCACGTCACGTTTCTTGACTATAAATATAATAATATAAAAATGAATACAAAAATTACTATAATACATTTTGCCGTAAGTGGCAATTAGGAAAATACTACCTCTGATTTGTTCAAATTATGTGCAATCTGCAGAAATTGCTTATTAAAGAGTATTTGCTTTGTTGTGATACTGAATTTTTGTATTCGGTCTGCAAGCTTGCTAATATTAAAGTAAAATGTTCTAGCGAATCTCTCTTCCACAGAGATTTGCGAGAAGTATTTATCTATCTTCATCCTTTACCCTGATACCTCATTACTAATCGTTTCGTTAAATATAAGTGGGATAGTGAAATAGGATTTCTCATAAAATCAAAAAATTTATGCTCTGTTTTTAAAATGCATAGCTAAAAAATTGATATATTATTAGATCATGGCATTTTTAAGCTATAATATTTGCAGTGAATCAAATACCTGAAAGAGTTGGATTCGATTTAATTTCTTATCTACAATACTTTTGTATTGACATTTGGTCATTTAGAAACAATACGTGCAGCATATCTTGTTGCTGTTCTGGGCAGGGATATAATTCTTTTCGCTAATTTGAAGCAGTATACTATGAACCAAAATAAAATCATCATAGCTTCGAAAAAAACAAAAAATTATTTGTAAATTTATTTATGTAAGTAAGTAAGTTATAAGATTATATATAAGGAATTACCTGCAATCACGTATGATAATAATGAATAGAAAATATCGAGCCATAAAGATTTGTCCCGTTCTGTTAGCAATTGCATGTCATCTTCCAATAACTTGAGCTGTAATTATACAAACTCAAATATCAATAAACTAATCTTATTGAAGGATGACGACAATAGGAAACTCCAAATTAACAACGAACCTCATGAAAGTAATTATTGTTCACTACTAAAGACATGTCTCCGATTTTTTCCAAAGTTGAATCCATTTCCTCTGATAAGCTATCAATCAATACAAAAATAATTAGCTTGTAGGCTTATAAAATTCAGTACAACAAATAATTCTTCATACCTTGCATGTTGTTCATCCAAATTTTTCCTCATAGCTTCAAATTCTTGCAAGTCTGTTTCAAACATTTTAAGCCCAATTTCAATCTGCATTTCAGTTCTGACTGAAGATGATTCATTAGTTTTGTAATTATCTCGACTCGAATCTTCACTAATTGGTTTGGGTGATTGAACAAAATCCATATCTTCTATGTCGTGGAAAAAAAATAAATCGGAATCTATAGCTTGATATCGGTCAGCCAAATTTGCCTAAATAATTAATGATATTTTTAATGTTAGAAATACATAAACTTATGCAATAGATCATTACGTACTTGATTTGATTCCAAAAACGCGCTAGTCTCTTGAATGCATTTATTATATCGGTCAATAATTTTTTCCAGCTCCACTTGATGACTGAAAAAGAAAAATATTGAGCGCCCATTATAATTATTTTTAAATAATCAAAGATCAAAAAACCTTTTGTAATCATCAGATGAATTGACATCTGCAATAGAATGTCTTGCCGAAGATAATTCACTAGAACTTGCGGAAGAATACTGATCATCGTCTTTCACGTTTTGCCCGACACCAAGTAAATCTTTTGTCATATCAATGTCAGCATTTTCTGGGTGCTGTTCCTTCTCAATTTCTCCGACATCACTTGAAGCCATCATACTTCTTATACTGCGATTACCTTCATCTGATATAGTGCCTGAATCAGCGTCAGGAGTAACTAACGGTACTGGTGGTTTATCGACAGAAGTACCCGATTGTTCCAGCGAACTCCTTTGCCATGTCGCATTATCTGATGATTCTGATAAGCTTATTAATGATTCTGATGAATTTATTGAATAAATTGAATTTCTTTTCTCAAAGTTCGGATTCACTTGTAAAGTTTCATCATTTTTTATTTTTTCTTCGACTTTATTTGTTTCTTCTTCATGCGTGATTACCTCTGGAATATGTTTATGGCTTTTGGGTTTTCGTCTAAAAAGCGATGACCATCTTATTGCTTTTCTGTGGTGCGTTCCATCCTTCTCGACACCATTCAAGCTAAAAGATCGATTGTGTTTTTGATCCCGAGAACTTTTTTTCGTGTTGGAGCTTGTTTCGTCCGAAAAATAAACAGTATCACCCTTACTATTACTATTATTTACACTATCAGTTCCTTGGTAGATTGTAAGCGAGTCTTTAGTAAACAAATTATTCATGGATGGATGAGAAAGACGACGACTCTGGGTCTTTCCAGTAAAAGATGCTGGACTTGATTCAACTCTTATGATGGGAAGTGATTCCACACTCGAAGATGTTCGATATTCGAATATTTTTGTGTTGAAATGTTCCGTCAAGTTTTCTTCAATTGTTGCCTTGTGCATATGTGATTTTTTGTTTCCGACAGTATTTTTATAAGCTATCAATTCCTCATTGGTGACATCCCAAAAGTTTTTCGATGAAATACCACCAGTATTTCTAGGACGAATTGACTGATTACTTTCGGAATCAGCCCCAATGGTATCTTTGGAGTTTTCTTCTTGACGATTCCTAATTATCTGCAAAGGATTGTAATTGATATTCTCCTCTAACATTTCTGAAATAATCCTATATTTATTCTCAAAATATTGTTTGCAAGCGCGTGACGCGGAAATAGTTCGGTCCGAGGGAACAGAATTTGAAGCACGATGTCCTTTACACGTTAGAAATTACCAAAATGTTATTATTTGAAGAGAAATAAAATATAAAAATTTGATATAATACCATCATCATGCGCTTCTTTCTTGACCGGTTCCAAATTTACAGGACTATGCGCTCGGGATTTTTGATTAGCTTGTTTTTTGGCCAGCAACAATGCATCTTCATCTTTAACACTCGCTAGCAGTGAAGCGACAGACTCTTTATTGAAAAATGAGCACGTAAATTGCTTAAGCAAAATAGAAAATAAGTAAACAATAAATAACTCAAGAAACAAATAAGAAATATATTGAGCAAAAACCTTTTCCCCCCTCTTCATTCATCAAATACACAAAACTTTTTCCTGCATGTCCAATTCTTTCTCGATCCAGGCTTCTTTCAAAAGAAGGACTTCTGAGTAACTTTTTCGGATCTGGGTTCAGTGTCATTTCTTGATTTGAAGGATGTTTAGTAGAGTCGAGTTTTTCAGATCGGTTGGAATCTATTTCTTGCTGTGAAAACACTGATTCTATTGGTTTAGAGGTCGCAGACGGTGTTCGTCTTCTTGAAGGAGGTTGCAGCGGTATAACATTATCGGGATGTGAACCTTTCTCAGACATTATTGACAGTTATTTCGCATAGTATAGCCAATGAGAACTGCAGGAATAGAAATTTTCACACTTGTATAAAATGATCGCGATATCGTGGAACGCCGATCATTTTTTAACGATCGGGCGCGACAAATTGTGCAAAGTGGCAAGAGGAACAACCGAAGCTTTTACTTGATACTGCGATAAATAAATGCAGGGTATTTCTCGGGTAGTACCTCTTCCCTCGAATGGTTTTCTATTGGCCGGGTTCAATAAAGGAACAATAGCAAGCGGTTCACCTTTTTTAAAGACAAAGTTAGGTTCCACGAATTTTCACAAGTCAATCACGACAACCTTCAGTCGTGTCTATCCACATAAGTCTTCCCATCATATTTTTTGGACATTTCAGCGTGTTTCCTGCCAAATTCAGCCCATTAATAAAGTTTCGTTATGTTTGATAAATTCGCGTTGTTTTCACAACACCCCCAATTATGCTTACACCGCTGAAGACGGACATATAATTAATAGGATTAAATCACAAATTATAAATAATAAAGTTAATAATAATAATAATAATAATAATGTCGATATCGAATCAGTTAAAAGAGTGTTATCACGTAAGCCTTCTACAGCGATCAAGAAAATTGGGAGAGCAATACGGAATGTCACACTGGGAATATTGAGTATTGCAACTGGCACAGCAATTATCTTGGCTACTTGGAAGGAAGATTATAGAGAAAAATTTACACTTTGGTGTGCCGGAGCTTTTCGATCTGCTGTAACGATTGTTTCTTGGTAGGTGATCGTGTTTTCTTTTTATTATGGCAATAGCTCATAATTAATAACCATGATCTATTATCCATGTGATTATTCTTTTGTTAGTTGTCTTTGTATGCTAGAGTATAAAGTACTGCATTTGCGATATGCTAGTACTGGATACGATTCTGATGAATATAAAGCGGCTAGAAACCTTGTGCACCTTCGATGTGCATATCGCCTTTTACGACTATGCAAATTGAACACTGGTGTCTATATAAAAGGTGTAGATTTGACTGTTGGTATTAAATGTTTGATTTACCATAAATACTGAATTACGACTAAATTGTTTCTTTACATCAGCGGGACAGCATCTTGCTTCTTTGACTTATGTAGTACCAAAACAATATACAGATGTACTCTCTGTGCTCCAAGATCGAGCTCCTTACAGAGCAATGTCCGAAATCGAAAAAATAATTAAGGAAGAATTTGATGGCCAAGGATCCAAAGATCTGTTCTCTGAATTTGATGAGACGCCGCTTGCAGCCGCATCTTTGGCTCAGGTGCATAGAGGTGAAAAATAGTTTAAGTTCATTACTAGGTCAAGCCTCGAATCTCCCCTTCCCAGTATATTCTAATTTTATTTGATCTAATAATAGCAATAACTAAAGATGGACGCGAAGCAGCTGTCAAGGTTCAATATCCGGATGTTTCACGTCTATTCAATGTTGACGTCTGGACTATGCAGACCATGTCCGATCTGATTTCTTACTTCTTTCCGGAATTTGAACTGGGTTGGATTGTGACAGAGTTCAAACAAAACTTGATAGCAGAATTCGATTTCAAAGCGGAAGGAAGAAATGGTGAATTAACAAAGCAGCGATTTGCACATCGCGGCGAATCTTTTGCTGTTCCCGAAATTTATCATGAGCTTTCCACAAAACGAGTCCTTACCATGCAATTTATTCGTGGTGTGAAAATTAACGATCTCAATGGATTGAAAAAACTTGGGGCTGATCCAGCTTGGGTCAGAAATCAATTGCTGGAAATATTTGCTGAAATGATTTTTTGTCATGGAATTGTACATTGTGATCCGCATCCAGGTAATGCACTAGTCGCTATCTCGCCTGTCACAAAAAAGCCACAATTAATTCTCTTGGATCACGGCTTATATCGTGAACTTTCTGATGATTTTCGAAAGACATATTGTGCTCTTTGGAAAGCATTAATCTTAAATGATGCCAAAGCTCTCAAAGAATCTGCAGAATCACTCGGAGTTGGCGAATACACTAATTTTCTCCCATTAATTTTCACTCAACGTATTCCCGATTCAACCTCATTACTGGGTGAAGACCTTTCACCCGAAGATCGTGCCATTCTTCATGACCAACTAAAAAACGTGACGCTCAATGATCTATTGGTTTTTTTGGAACGTTTGCCACGTGATATGTTATTAGTATTTCGAACGATCAATTTACTACGCGGGATTCACAGGCAATTAGGCGGGACTCCGATGGAAGTGTATAGTTTAAATGCGGAGTATGCAACACGTGGATTTTGGTGTGAAACAAGAGAGGAGAAACAAATTCGTATACAAAGAGAAAAAGAGAAACGACAAAAGGAGCGTAGAAAGGCTGCTGGGCAACCTGAAAATGGCAATTACGGTAATAATCTTAATCGTAGTCATATTATTAATAGTAATGATGATGGGAACAATTATATAGAAGTTGGACCAATAAGGCGGTGGTATTTGTTTGGCGGAGCACCAACATTAAGACGAAGCTTGGGTTATCTGCATGACGAAATCTGGTTAAAAATTAGATTCTATATGACTGAACTATTTATAAAGGTATGGCGATGGTGGTATCGAATTACAATCACAAGTGGTGACCATTCTCAAAATGCGCCAGCATTTCAATAAACAATTTTTGTGATTATTTATTAATTTGTTGGGTTAGCGATCATTTTCTTCATTAAATGTTAAATTTTAACCAATCATAACGATAAGAAATAAAATATATTTTATCTATGCGAGAGTTTGCAATCTATACTCGGTTCCCAATAAAAACATGGATATTCCTAGTAGAACGGTCAGTCCCTCTGAAAACACAGAAGACAGTCTTTACAACAAGATAGTTACAAACTCTAAACTACTTGATAAAATGGAAGACGAAGCTGGTGAAATTGCTCGAAGTGTTCAACACATTCACGCACAGATTCGTTCGAGTAAGCTATCCTTGTTTATAGAACACTATTATACTCGTTGGTTACGTTGACTTTTTTTTAAAGTGGGTGGCTTCGATGAAAAAATGGTTTCTGAGCTACGCGCTCTTTACGAGAAAGGTTTGGAGCAAGCACGCCGTGAAGAAGAGTACGTAGGATATTTATCATAAATAATATAGTTACTAGTTATTGATTATCTTAACAGGTATAACAATATAACTGATCGATCATCATTAGATCGATTGAATGATTGATTTATTGACGGTTGATATTTGTATTTCGGTAGTCTTGCATCAAATGTTTCTTCACAAATCGACCAATTCATGCAATTAAAGGGAGGAACAGCTAATACGAGAAATGAAACGGCAACACAAGGTGGGTGACCTCCATAAAAGCATGATATGACGATAATTTAAAATTCAAAAGTACGATACTGAGAAGAAAATTTATAGGATCCTCGACTCCGACCTCATCATCAGCATCTCCCCACAGGACACCGCAATCGACATCAAAACCCGTAAAGAAAACATTAACGCAGCGAAAGCCGACCACAAGTCAACTTAGTGCTGCAGAAGAAGGGAACGCCCCATCTTCTCCCGCCTCTCTTAAAAGGATGCGTCCGAAGGAAGAAACGAAAAAACAAAAGATGCAAGTGATCTTTTTGTTTGCTTGATTCTCGTTTTAATTTTGCTTTAGGGCTAAATGTGATTTTTTTGATCCGTAATAGTAACATTCCAATCCCTAAAAATGATGCAAGACTACTAAAAGGACGGGCTGTATGTCTTTATTCTTCTTCTTGATTGATTTCGTATCTTTTAACTAATTATGCGGATAAATTATTAGGTTGCGGCAAAAGAACCAAAAACGAGAAATGAAGAAGAAAATTATATAATAGCCACAATTAAAGGTTACAATCCTCAAACTAAACAGTATGTGATTTAACATGTAACAATTGCATTATTTCAAATAGTAACATTTTTTTTTATCTAATATTGAATTCACATTATAACGCAGATACGAGGTCGAAGACGCGGATGAAACAGCACCAGAGTAAATAAGACATTTTTATATTTAGTGGATCGAAATATTTCGAGATAAAGAATTCTTTTCTTATTTATTGCGTATACTCATTAATGATCTTAATTTGATTAAAAAAAGACGAATCTTTTGGGTTCCTCAAAACAACATAATCCCAATTCCAAAAAAAGAGACAATATTAACAGAATTCCCAGCAAGACACACCGTGCTGGCAGTTTACCCGGCGACAACTACATTCTATAAAGCCGTGGTTGTTTTGCCTCCGAGCAAGACAGTGGATCGACCAAACTCTGATGAAAAAGGAAAATATTTACTTGAATTTGAAGATGATGGCGGCGCTAAACGGCCAGCTGATATTATTCATGTATTGGAATACCCCAAGCAACATTAATTTTATTTCGATGACGGTTATATGATTGAACTAATCACAAAAGTTATTTAACGTATTCATTATTTATAGGACAGTATCATCCGATCAGAAACGGATTTAATCAGTATCACATGAAGGTTATATATTTTTTTTATTTAAATTTTCTACCTTTTACAATCTTGCACAAAAAAATTCGGTTGATTAATGCAGTGTACTCCGAATATGTGTAACCTCTTAAAAGCAAAGCCACACTATTTTTGACCAATAAATTATAGAAAAGAACTTTTTTTTTATCCGTATGCACGATCCTAATTAGATGTGTCATACAAATGTTTGAAATATTTATTATGCTTTGTCTTCTCATATTACCACCCACCCACCCACCCACCACCAACACCGATATCGACCACAAAGCACACCTCAAACCATTTATTAATAATATCGCGTAATTTTCTACGCACATTCACTCGGCATACACACAAAACTGATATATAAATATTTTAATACACTTATTCTCAAGAGCGGTATAGAGGGAGAGAGATATACATAGAGTGGATTTAGGGAATCATTAACAAGGACACACGCACACACACACGCACACACACACACACACATATATATATAGAGAGAGAGAGAGAGAGAGAGAGAGAGAGAAAGAGAGAGATAAAATGTTTCGATTACGTTCTTTTGGTTCATATATGCGCACGATGTGTGTATTGTCAATAATTTTAATATTTATATTGTATCATTATTATCTTTATTCAAACTCATACACAAAAGACAATGAATCTTCTATCGTAAACATAAAAGATAATGAATCTTCTATCGTAAACACAAAAGACAATGAATCTTCCATCGTAAACGCAAAGGACAATGAATCTTCCACTGTAAACATAAAAGGCAATGAGGAACGAACTAGACATCAAAAAACGTCAGTAACAACGAAAGAGTCGGTGACAGTAGAATCAAACTATCTTAGCTCTTTCCTTAAGACGGATCCATATGACTATCCAATACCGAGAAGAGCACACATGGAATGTCAATCATATCACGAAAAAAACAATGTTACATTTGATCAACTCTGGAGTTACCCACCTACAAAAGTGCTAGTTGGAATATTTACAACGGCGAATACATTTGAACGACGACAACTTCTGCGGACACTCTACAAAGCGGCACAGACAGAACTAAAAGATGACTGGGTGGATTTCAAGTTTATCATTGGGAGACCAAAACCGGATCAAGACAGTCCATTGCTTCAGCTCAAACTAAAAGTTGAGCAAGCAGCATTTAAGGATGTAGTGATGTTGGATATTGTTGAGAATTTAAATGAGGGAAAAATTTATGAATATTTTCGATGGGCAGGATTAACGTACAATGAGAATAACACTGTCGAACAATATGATTATATAGCGAAAGCAGACGACGATGCATATGTACATTTTCAGAATCTCGCGTTAAACTTACGACCATTATCTCGCGAGAAACTTTACTACGGATATTACATACCTGTTCATGAAAAATTTGGATTCATGACCGGAATGTTAGAAGTTTTATCTATTGATCACGTTCGGTGGGTTTCCACCGCTGATATACCCGAAAAATCGATTATTGGACCTGAGGATGCGATGGTCGCACAATGGCTCGAACTTGGTGGTTGGAAATTTGTGAATTGGATACATGAAAACTGTTTGTTGTATGAGGATCCGAGAAGCAATGCGAATCCATGGTGTTGGCGACCTTGGGCTTCACCGCATACAATTGTATTTCATGGAATGAAAGTTGATTGGAAATGGGACGCGGTGATTGAATTGTTCTTTGGGAAAAATCAATTTGACGAAGATATAATTCAACCTGAGGATGATTCAAATATTACCATTAGCGACAACCACACCAATAACACCAACAACACTAACAATACCAACAATACCAACACCAACAATACCAACACCAATACCTACGACGGTGATAAGAAGGATAACACGACAGTTATCCTTACTAACAGTATTAACAATGAGGATGGTAATGAGAAATAGCAAAAATGGCGTTGTTAAACCAATAATTTACCACATAAATAATAAAATTCATTTATTAATTAATTTATTAGTTCCCTTTCTGTAAAAAAAATTAGACGTGTATCTTATTAATTACTACCACTAACCATCAACCATTAATGACGTTAATTTCCATCACTTTATAAAACGTAGAATTCTGAGGATTAGTTAGAACATTAATACCACCCACCCATTATCATCGTATCCTATTACATAATTACATAATAGCATAGCATAACATTTAAGTTAAAAAAAAGATACAATAATAGAGATAACCTTTTGAAGGTGCATTAAAATTCGGCGCACTTGTATTAAAATTGATTATTTAATAGCTGCCGCTGCGCGTGAAGTTATATCTATGACAGGTCTATTCCCAAATTTAATCCTTAAACATTAGGTGAAAGAAACAAATCAAATATCACCGGATTTTTTTTTCCTCGGTTTTTTGATACGCAACAGCTTGTTAATAATCACCATCAACACCAAACGAAATAATTTCTTCAATCCTAAAGGAATCATCTTGATATCCTTCTCGTGAAATTATACACACATGATCAACCAAAAATTCAATTGGATCATTCAAGAATTCCGACTCGAAGGATTTTATAGCTTTCTTTGCAGCTTCCTAAGATCAATCAAAAAAAATCTAAGCATCACAAATCCACGAGAGAGAGAGAGAGAGAGATAGATATATACATATATATATAATATGTATATGTGCGCACGCGTATGCATAATTCAATTAAATTAAACTTTACTTTTACCTCTCCGGGAAATTGACCTAATGAAAGATGCGGAACAAATCCATGATCACCACCAAGTTTTATTAAATCATCAAATTCCGGAAATCCTAATTCTTCACTATGATTTTCTTCTACTTTTTCATCATCGTCTGTCCAACCATAAACTAATCTTCGTTCTAGTTTCTCCACTTCGCCAATGACCGGTTCACTTATCGGTCTCAACCAAATAGTCGCGCTCCTTTTCCCGTGCAAAAAATAACCAATCTCTTTAAGTTTAATAGTAAATGGTTTTTGATTGGATAATGTTAATCTCAGTCGTTTTAATAGATTATTCGCGGTAGCGGTAGAGTCATCAGCAGCAGCATCATCATCATCATCATTAGTGGTGGAAGAGTATTCTTTGATTGAAACAAACGGGTAAAGTAGATTGATGTGTGGTTGCGTCCATCGCTTGAAATGTTTATCATGTATTTCTCGAATTTTTTGAATTCGTGGCCAATGAGTCATCGGGGGAATTATGCATAACGCGGATTTATGAGTTTTTGTGAATTTGTGGCTTTTTAACGCTGATGTATCAGCGGCATATGAGGGATCAAGAGACATTTTACTTATTACCTTAAAAAAATCGATCAAACGATATCAATATCACTATCATGCTGATGATCCCAGTAATATGCGTGTGCCATGCGTATTTTGCTCGACATGAAATTTTTTTCCTTGTTGTTTAAATGTTGTACATCATTCATTTACTTACAAAGCTTCGATGATACAAACACAACTTGCAATGATTTACTACGTCATTTGAATTCACCACCACTTTAATCACGACAACAATAAAACACGAGGTGAGCAAATAAATAACAGGTAGAATGATGCTTGATGATACACACATGTGCCATTTCGTTTTTTTCAAAGGGTTACAATAGTCATATCGAAAAAATCAAATAGGGAATGTCACCAGTTTGTTTTATTCAGTTTATATTAATAATAATAAAATAAGCGATTGTTTGATTTTCCAATTCAGTATTTTTTCTCGTTTTTTTTTTTCGCCGTCGTTATCAAGATTATATAGTCGCATCGCAAAAAAGAAGCGGTTCTTTTTCTTTTTCCAGTATAGGTCGTTTTTGTCGTGGTCCTCGGTCGGATAAAAAAAAATTACAAAACGAAAAAAATAACCCAGTGACTATATATACCAAATAATCACCAATAGGCTATCCATCTATATATACGAAACTACTAATAATAAACAATATTAGTATTGTTTACTTCGACAACGAACCAAACCGAACAACAAACTTTTATTAACCCGACAATCGTACATACACGGACGCACACCTCACCCACACATACTTGTTACTTCCGTCCCTCTCAAAAATTTATTTCTTAAACAAAAAACTACATAAAAAAGACACCGAATAGAAAAAGAGGAGGAATTAAAAAAAAACCGAAGAAAGAACCATGGTGAAGGTCCCAAAAGCGTTGAAACCTGACTTTCGTCGTGTATCTAAAGAGAAAATCTCAACCCCTATTGCCATACCAACCAAACACCCGCCTTCTATATTACCCCCAAAGAAGGTGATTAAAGCATTGTACGATTACGACGCAAGCGCCCCAAATGAGCTCTCCTTTTCTAAAGGCGACTTTTTTCATGTGGTCGGGGAAGAAAATGACCCAAACTGGTATGAAGCTTGTAATCCGGCCACGAATTTACGGGGACTCGTGCCTGTCACGTATTTTCAGGTACTCGAGAAAAGTGGTCGACTAAGTGGGAATGAGAAAGTTGATCCAAACGCATTCTACGACCCGTCAATAGGTGGACAGAAACCTCAACCATTGTATGGAATCGTATTGTATGATTTTGCTGCTGAACGCCCCGATGAACTTAATGCTAAAGCTGGCGAACCCATTATCGTGATTGCACAATCGAATCACGAATGGTTTGTTGCGAAACCGATTGGACGTCTTGGTGGACCTGGACTGATCCCTGTTAGTTTTGTCGAGATAAGGGACCATTCAACTGGCAAAGCGATCGAAAATATACAGGAATTAATGGATAATTCAATCGTTCCAAAAGTAGAAGAGTGGAAGAAGATGACACAGGATTATCAAGAAACGAGTATTTCATTAGGGAAATTAGATTTCGCCGGCGATTCTAAGCTAGTACCGGTTGGAATTGAATCGGATCCTAAGTTAGCTCCTGTTGGTATAATGGATCAAGGGAATAATAACGTGGAGTATGATCCAAAACTTGCTCCAATGGGAGTTGGTGGTGGATTTGACTATGCAGCTACAACTGAACAATCGTATGAATATGATGATGGATACCTTGCAGGAAGTCATTCAGATGGATCGGATAGACCATTTATGACAAATTCATCAGGTTTACAAAATAAAGTTGCTCCGTCATCCCCTCCGTTATTACCATCAAATGTTCTTGGTAGTTTCAATGTAAACAATATAAACAATAACAGCAACAATGAAAGATCATCTGTGAGTATACTGGACGAAATAATAACCGCCTCAGTCGAGTCATTTCTTTTCCAGGATGATCGATATTGGTTTTTGGTCAGGGTTGAATTATCATCAGGTCGATTCCGTACATTATATCGATTATATGAGGACTTTTACGAATTTCAAATTGCCCTCTTAAATGAATTCCCCGCTGAGGCGGGACGCACCGGACAACAGAGAATTTTACCTTTTATGCCGGGCCCACTTTCATATGTGAACGATATGATTACTGCACAACGGCGAGCTGACTTGGACGTTTATATTAAGGAATTATTAAATCTACCCGATTACATATTACAACATCCACAATTACAACAATTATTTGGTATACGAGAGGGTGATGTTGAGACTGCGCACGATCCAAGAAGTAATAATGATTCGAGAATAAATGGAAATAATCATAGCATAATGCTGGATCCTACAGAACAAATTGCTTCATTTACTCAACATCATCATCATCATAATCAACAGCAACAAATTTATAATAATAATAATGATGATGATGACAACTTTAATAATGGTGGATCTCAGTCAATAAGAAAACAAACCTCATTGACCAATGGCGCATTTAACCATTCACATAATGGATCTTCATCGTCTTCAATTATTGCTGGTGGTGGTAAACATCAAACGCTCTCACATCAAGACTCTAATCAACAGCTACGTTCAAATGCAGGAACGAATGGAAAATCAAATTTCATTAAAATTAAAATATTCTATCAAGAAGATCTTATTGCGATACGCGTGCCCGCAGAAGTTTCTTTTGCAGCATTACGAGAGAAATTATATGATCGTCTTGGAGGACATGTTACAAATTTACGCTATAGAGACGAGAGAACCGGTGAATCATTTGAACTCGAAGATGACGCCGATTTACAAGCTGCAATAGCAAACACTCCAAAATTAATAATTTATGCGGAATAAAAAAAAACTATTATTATCACGTAGATAAATTGTGCGATTTATCACTTGCAAAGTTGACGAGAAATTTGGAAAACAAAAAGAGAAGAGAGGCGGGGAAAAATCAGCTGTTTGGATTGGAAGGTGCGAGAAAGTTGGTGAAAAATTTTTGTAAAAACAATATTTAAAAGGAAACGAAAAAAGATAGATGCAGGAAAATGTGAATATCTACATACATGTATTGTTATTATATAATGTAATGCTCTGTTACTATTACTATTCCGCTTTTTTTATCATTAGAAAGGATGCGGGGAACAAAAGCATTTGGGTTATCATTATTCTTAGTCATATTATATATACTACTTATATTATTATCATCAAACATCATTATTTTTCAACAAATTCAATCATTCATTCAATCATCCATCCATACATCCATCCATCATTTTTTAAACGATTTTTTTGTACTTATCTCCTTAACATTACCACTGCAAGGGTGAGGATGTGGAGAGAGAAGGAAAATTTATATATTTATATATATATAATTTTATATATATAAATAAATCATATCAACACATATAAATACTTATAACAAAATCTCAACATTTTTTTCCTTGATGATAATTTTTATTGGCATCAAAATAAAATTAATACATTTTTAGGAACAATGTTTTTGGGAACAAGGATTATAGCTTTCATTCTATCCAGCACTTTGAATTGATGGTATTTCCGCGACCAAATCGCCGTTAGTGTTTTTACGATTGGCACGTTTACCACTAGTAGCAGCGCCTGCATGACCATCACTAAGACTACCAAGATCAACTTCTTTGTTCTTTTTGTTTTTGTCGTTCTTTTCGGTTTTATTCTTATATCTCTCCTCTGAAACAGGAACAAATTTCTTTTTTACAGGATCAAAGGTTTCAGATGGTGACGATGACTCTGCTTTAGATGGTAAAAATTAATCAGGGATCATAATATCAATATAAAAATATGATTATAAGAATATTATAATGCTTACATGCAGCAGGAGCTTGACTATCGTATGGAGTTGGTGCATCTTCAGGATCTCGCTCTTGTTGTGGCTGCTTTTGAGCTGAACCTGGGGATGACTTTGATTTTTTTTCCTTATTACTATCGTCAGCCGATTGTTGAGGTGAAAGACCATCTGATGTCACAGGATCCATATTAGCCTTTCCTTTTTCTTTTTCATCATTTTCGAGTACCGATTCACGGCGTCCACTAGCATCTTGAGAATGTGATTCGGTCGGATCCTTTTTCGATTCTGATGAATCTGTTAGTACGGATCCGTATCCTTTTGTTCCGTATAATCGCCTTTTAATTTCACTATCATGATATTTATGATTATGATTGTTAGATTTAATGTAATTGTTGACGGTAATAATATTACCGCGAATAATATTTTTGGTATTATAAGCACGAAAATGGTAGATTCTTGGTGTTTTGAATAGACAAGGCTTGATCTTTAACATAATGATTGTTTTTCCTCATTTTTTTTTGTTTTGCTGCCCTTTTTATCTTGAAAAAATTTAATTTAGATAATAGACTTTACATTACATCAGTATCGGTATATGTTATCATTATGATGTTACGTTAGTGGCGTTTTTAGTTAGATTGATAGTAGAAAATCTAATAATATCTTAATTTTTCGCGCAATTTCGCATGTTTTCCAAACTTTACGAACTTCGAATGTAATCAAATATTCGTTTCAAAATATTAAAAACCGGTGAATCTCATTAAAACCGAATCTTGCGTTAAGCCGGATTTGTCAATTTTTGCAGTTACAAATGTCCCGCATAATTAACCCGTTTAACGAGATTCACTGTAATTTTTTCTTGTAAAGAAGTAAAATTTATTCTTTTATTTAGTATGACCTCTTTATATAAATGTTGCAAGTGGTTATGAAATCGGATTCCACTGAGAATTTTGGCCAACACTAATCTTATTTATTCCCAGCATTATCCCTAACCTTTATTCTAATTCTCTGGTTATCCAATTAAAATCGTCACCCAATGGTAGAAAATTCAATTTTTTATTTTATATTTCGACTTTTTAATGTTCTACATTAATAAATTGATATTTCCACACCTCTTTTTGATATGCCCAACACCCTCGCGATCACGTGATAGCAATAGATCACATGCAGGGTGTGGAAATATTCATGTATAGCCTCTTTGAGGCTCAATATTTCGAGACTCAGTGACGGGAATCGAATGTAACGCCCATCATTTAGATCCACCAAACCTAGGGAATCGAATGGTACTGAGTATTGAGTTATTGAGGCCCAAAGAGGCCGTACGCGTAATTTTGATGAACGATTTTACGCGCCTAACCCTAACCCTAACCTTCGAGACTCAATGAAGAGAATTGAGTATCCGATTTCCTAGAATTTGATGAAACGAATGGTGGACTCAATACTCGATTCCCGCCACCGAATCTCGAGATATTAATAAGCCGTGTGTAAAACCGATCACCAAAATTACATGTACAGCCTCAATATCTCAAGATCCGATGGTGATAATCGAGTGTAAAGCATACCATTCGATTCCCATCACTGGGTTTCAAGATATTAACCTTTAAGAGTCCTTACATGAATTATTCATGGTAAAATCCATAAATATTAATTTAATATAATATATTTTGCTAAATACGAATTATTTTTGCAAATCATGTGACCCGGAAATTGCTAATTAACGTTAAAAGGCGAGGATTATGGTCAGTAGCGGTAGGTTGCAATCTTTTAAGAATTATGTCTATAGTAAAATTCCAGTTATTTACGATTTTCTCTTGTCAAATTCGTATGTTAAGCCTGGATCTTTGCACAGATTATCACGTGATATTATCTTATTTTTAAAAGTTTCTTTATAGCACTAAGTTTTCTAATTAACTTTTTGAATAAAAAATTTGCGAACATAAAAATTAAATTAGATATTATTCTAAATAAGTTTTATTTTCTGATTATAAAAAATTTTTCTAATTATATATGATGAGAGCTATATAAACTGAATATTTTTGACTTTTATTATTACTAAGACAAACTTAATTCTCATTATATAAAAATTTATATTTTATTACTTTTATTATAACCAGTTTGATTCTGATATTAGTCTATTAATTAGCATAAATAATGCATAGTTTAAAAATCATCTTTTTTTCTTTACTTTTACTAATAATTTTGATTAGAGTCTATATATTAAATACAAATTGTTGTACTTATTATTTTCTGTTTTATTATCTTAAAATCAAAAATTATATGTCGGATTAATTCATATGATCATTTTACCCATCACAGCATGCACGTGTTATCATATATTTTTTGTCAAATCTAATACCAGTGCTAAATCCAAACGATTATTAAATATGAAATTTAATTTAACATCTAATTATCAACAACAAAATCACTACGAAATCGAAAGGAAATTCAAATTTGACCCACAAAAACTCGCACAACTCGAGACAAACAATGGTCCAAACAAATTCGACTCTTTGAAATTTCTTTCTAGAAAATCATTTACTGATATTTATTATGATAATCAAGATTCCAATTATCCATTAACAAGTCAAGATATTTGGTTGAGACAGCGTGATAACAAATGGGAATGTAAAACGCCAATGAATTTAACGAATTCAATGGACTCATATCATGAGCTCGAAACCGCCAACGAGATCAGTGATTTTCTAAAGCGTACACTCTTACCCAACAAGAACATTATTGCGAATGCTACATTATCACCGGAATTCTTATTCACCACCTATAATCTTACACCCTTCTGTAAAATTCATACCACACGTGATCGTTACCTCATCAACGAAGAGTTCACAATGGATTTGGATAAAGCAGATTTCGGACACTACGTTGGCGAGATTGAATTAATTGTCGAATCAAAAGATGAGGTTAATGAGGCGGAAAAAAAGATCGCATTATTTATGAAAGAGAACGATTGGTTTTTTGATACGAGTGAGATTGCAGTGAGTAAATTGATTGCATATATTGAAAATTTTAATCGAAAACAATGGGCTTATCTGGAAGATTCCGGTGTTTTAGGGAAAAAACTGAATCCGGAAAGTTTAGATAGCGTAATTAATAATGATGATAAAATATAATGATACATTAATCAATATACAGGATTAAATGGCAAGTTAAACAAGGCAGAATCCTATTATCAAACAAGTTGTCAGTGACACTTGATTCTTTCATCGTGATCCAATCTAAATAGTCTGCACACTTGGCACTTTCTCATCATTAGTGGTTCAAAGAACACAATGTTGCTCAGGAATCTATTAACTGTTTCGCATTATTCGGCGCAATCTTGAGATCCAAAAACGTGTGTTGAACAAATCATTTCTAAAACATTTCAATTTACGCTGGTGTTCATTTCTTGAGTGGTTAACGACGTCATTCTGAGCCACTAACATCCAAGTAACGATAATCTTTACGTCGTCCAGAAATTTGTATTTACTATTATTATTACTATTATTCACAATAGAATAAAAATTCTAAAGGTATTTCGGATATAGATATAGGAATGATTCAAGGCCAGCAAGAGTTGATTTTCGTATAGTATCGGAGATGTCAATGATTCTGCAGAATTCGAAACTAAAATAGATTAGCGTTAGCAGCAGAAGTACAACGTTGTCGTTATTCATAATTATTCCAAGTTTCTGTAAAAGCACGATAGATATCGAAGTTTTAGAGTTTAAAGCATAATCGATTAGCATTGACTGCACACGCCATTAAAAAAATACTTTTATTGTACGTATCCGTAAATAAGTACACCGACAAAGAAACCATTTTTTAGGATAAATTTAAATTTTATATTGTCACTACCGTTGGCTAATTTAAAAAATATCAAGAATTGCTGTTTGTTTTTTATTTAGTTAAATGCTGCTTTTGCTGTATTCTTACGTTTTTTTATGCCGTCCGTCTTCCCAACTATCTAACCCACACCGAAAGGATTTTCAATATAATCAGGTTAGGAATTTCGTTTCTTATTAAGAAATCGAATAAATTCTTTACATGTAGTATACAATCAATGTCTTGTAAACGAGGTCTACATTCTGTGCCTGCTCGTTTTGCTTCTCCAAAGCTAGGAAAACAATCGTTTAATATTTAGTTTTTCTTTGGTCATTATCGTTTTTGTTTTCACAACAAAAATAAATGTCGTTTATATGTTTGTGGTTTGTACATGGAGCGATTCAATAGAAAACTAGAAACTTCTGTTATTCCCGTACACATTCTCAAATTAGAAAATGCATTCCAAATTTCCCGCGAAAAACAAAGAATTACGATTCGAAGCGTATAAAATTCCTTCAATTATTAGACTTAATGATATTTCGTCTCGAATATCCTAAATACAATTACCGCGAAAACATATTGTTCAAATTCAATTTTTCCATTATTGCTGACTGTCCCCCTACAAAAGATGTTTGTTCTGTAATAATTACCTTACCTCTTTTATATGTAAAGTGAAACTTGAAATCATTTCCTAAACCCATGCGAAATCTATAAAAATAACAAAAAAAAACCAATTCAAACATATATTGGCTTCGAAGAATCATCAGCACAAGCAGTTCTTCAAGTAGCATTCAAACAATCGCATCCCCCCCCCCAATTGTTTAAATCAAAAAAATCATGTTTTTTAAGTTATATGTAATAAATAGTGTGTTCTACAGTTATAAGCATTATGTGGTTATTTAGGTTCTTTTTGAAGCGAGGATAAATATGGTAGGCCAGACAACATTTAAAAGTTGATCATCTTTCCAACCTTCAACTTCTTTAATTTGATCAATTAATTCGTCAACTGGATCATTAGAATTTGGATTCTTCGTCATGTAATTTTTGTAACAACTTGAAGTCTGTCCAAAAAGGATCAAATGAATTTAGAATTATATTTAGAAACAATAAAAAAAATGTTGACAAGTTACCTTCAAATACATTCTTAAATTGTCAATCGTATATGTTGCTTCCATGTTAGGATCTTTTACTTCAACAACACACTCATCCTCTTCAATCTGCCTTTTCACAGTCGGATAAAATTCCCATTTTACTTTCCCAAAAAGATTCGGAGGAACCTTCACCCCTTTATAATAATCTTCCACCACACGTCTTCCACTTTCCCAATACGTTGCCAGCTTGTCTTTACTAGTTCCCCACTCCTCAATCATTTGCGTCGCTTTCGGATAACCGCGAATTATAATGTATACGTATCCCCATATTGCCAGAGTTCCATTCGGCTTTAACACGCGATAAGCTTCCGCGAAAAATTTCTCCACATTCACCCAATGAAGGGCTTGTGCGATTGTAATCAAATCGATGCTGTCATTGGCGAAGTTGGAGAGATTTTCGGCGGATGCTATAGAGTATTCGATATTTGATTTTTTGGTGGCGGAGTTTAGCATTGTTTGGGATGGATCGGTTGCATAAACTTTGTGGAATACGTTGGAGAGTGGTTCGGCTACTTGGCCTGTTCCCGTGGCAATGTCAAGAGCCGTTGTAAATTCACATTTATGATCTCTATGATAGTTGTAGATTTTTTCAAAGAGAATTGTTTTATATCTGAACAATAATAAAAATATATTATTATTATTAGTGAAAATTTAGATTGTTATCGGTTATTATAAGACATCATTAGAAAATTATTACGTGGGACGACAACTGCCATAATTTTTACTATTAAAATCGCTTTGTGAAAAAGTGGCCATTATGTATTATTACGGTCGATTTTCTCCTCACCACTCCATACATTTATAATACATTAACAAGACAAGAAGTGACTAATTACAACATCATGTAAGTTTTCCCGTCATATCCTTTAATCCCGAAAAATTAAACATTTATACAGGGCAATTACATTTATTACGTAATATTTTAGGGGGTGGGAAAATCTTATGTAGAATTTCAGAATTGGGGAATTGAGAATTTTTTAATATATATAAACTTGTGAATTGTTTCATATCATTTTATTTAACATGTTTTATAAGATTAAAATGAAATCAATGAAGTACCGATGCACAATTCTATAAAAGGAAAATGATCTGTGATCACGTGATCATATTATCTTACCTGGGTAATAACCGCCCCCGCATCATACCGATATCCTTAATCCCGAAAAATTATAATTTTCTTTTTTTTTAACGAACCTCTTTATATACACAGTGACTCTCTTTATAGTGTATCAAAAAAATCTATTAGTAAAAAATTCTCAAAAATCCACTATATCGAGAGTTTTTGAAAATTTATTAGTAAATACACTATATCGGATAGAATTTATTATAGATGGTTTTGAACCTTTATCCACTATAGCGTGATTTTAATTAGTCTCCACTGTAAAGGAGGTCCACTATAAAGAGAGCCACTGTGTACAACTTAAAATTTTTAAAATTATAGAAAGATAGTAACTTTATATAACGAACTCTTTTTTTAACAGAACCATCGGTTCGTTTATATAAAAAGTTGACTGTATTCAGGCGAGCCTTTATTTAGCTGCCAACAACCACATGATTCACTTTATAACCAAATAATGATATCTCTCATTTTGATTAGTCATTTGATTTTTTCGACCTTCGGGGCTCAATATCCAAAGTGCATTAACAAATAAATTTTAATGACAATATATAATAAATACTACCAATACTCAAGCTTTAAGTTTGATTTCAAGAACATCGGTTGGTAATGACTCTGGGTATATGTACAGCAACGGTATTCTTTTTGGCGATATAATTCTGGATTTTGAAATCGGAATAGATGTCCTCAGGAACAACAAAAGTATAAACGTATTTTTTCTTCAGACATTGGCAAGAAAACTTTGACAATGTTTTCCAAGTCATGGAGTTTGATTCCATGATTTTTGACTGACGGTCATCTGGAAAAGTTGGTTTGAAGGAATAAGCGAATCAATCGCACAAAATATTTTTGATTTCTGTTGAAAATATTTGGTAGTCATTAAGCTTTCAAATTCAGTTTCTGAAATACAGAGAGAGAGTTTCATCAGCAGAAATTAATGAGGTATTCAGTGATCTGATACGAAAATATCCTCCTCGTCTAAATGAGATTATGAGAATACCCCTCAAACAAATTTCTCCGAATGGAATGCCTACTTTTTTCTGCCACTCCTTTACTAATGATTAAAAAATGATCCAAGTTTGCTCTCTTCCCTTTCATATACTTCTGCAAGTTTACGACTGCCATAGGGCGATGCAAATTGAAAAGGGTCTTGCTTATAATGTTCTCTGATTGTTAATTGTAAATATTGAGGGGTAATATCATCAGAAAAGTAAACCAGGGCATTTTTATGACATGATTTAGATTACAAGGCCTTTCAAGTGAGTCTTCCAGTGTTTTTTGAAGATCTTTGTTATTTGCATTCTCTAGAATAAAACATGGTATGCCTCACCATTTATACCATACACGGTCACAACCAAATCAGTGGATAAATTGTTATATAATTGGTTTCGACATTCTTCAATCTCTTCTTCTGTCCATACTGGCATCACACGTTCATCAACATGATGAAATTTCCGGTATTCATGAAAATATTCTTTACGAGTTGAGCAAAGGAGAATTATTCTTGCTGCAACATCTTTTGGTGATATTCCATCAACAATATACCAGGTGTTTTTTATCTCCAAATAACTTTTAAATGTTTCAAGTGGGCCTTCTTGAATTATGAAAGCATCTTTAGGTCCAGTAATTAAGATTGCTTGACGGATGTTTCGTATTTTTCCCATACTATAGTATCCCCGTGTTGGAGCAATAAGTGCATCAAGTAAGTAATAAAGAAAGTAGTTTTTCCAATTCCAGGATTACCATGGATCATGAAAATACGGATCTTTCGATCCACCATTTACTGTCTCCAATATAACCTTCCGCAAGATCTCGATAACATTGTCGTATGAATAAGCTGGAGTGGTAGTAGGACTTACCTTCAAAATGAACATCATCTGGAAGAATCAGAAATTTTTCATTGACGTCAAGTTGAACCTTAGATAGCTCATTTATAAATCGAACCATCCCTTGAATGGAGCTGTGAGTTTTCTCGTACTGCCCTCTGATAAATTAACAAAAAATATGAAATGGTGCAAACAAAAGGTGCATTATTTATACCCGTTTGAATCTCCGAGAGAATATGGCCTAATAATCTCATCAAATATTTTATCTTAACGTTATTACTGCCATATTTGAGAGATTCTTCCATATATCAGATACTTTATTAGGATTGTTGGCAGGAGAAAGAGCAGAGGTAGACTCTTCCATATTATCTGAACGATTTAAGGGAATGTGGGAAAGTTACGTTAATAAAAAAAGTATGGTTACGCTAAAATCAAATGACAATCAGGATATTATTTCCCCAACTGCTGGTAATGTTTCCTATTCTAGTTTGGGCACACGATGAAGATATAGACGACAGAAGATAACAGTGTCAATAATTTATAGAGTACCCAATACAAAAATACAATTTTCTTTATGATAATAACACAAAAAGAACTAGAATTTCAGTCATAACTTAGATTATTAGTATAACGATGGGGCTCAAAAAAATCGGTATAGTGAGCGTTAAATAGAAAATCGGTATAAGCAAATGCTTTTTATTATATTTCAAAAGTTCGTAATAAGCAAATAAGGTTATACGCTGAACTTTCTTATAAAAGTATTAAATTAAGAAATTAAAATCATTGTGTATGAGGATGCTATACTAGAATTAATTGCATTGTTGGCTGAAAATTAACTTTGAAATATTATTTTGCAGAAACTCGGCTTTACATTTCTAATTTTTTTCATTTGTCTCGTTATTCTTATATATACGTAAATGTAAATGGATGATGTTGCGCCTTGAAATTAATATACTAAAATCTTTAATCCTTCAACAATGGTTTCTCTTTTTTTACATCTGCACCATCATTATCGTCATCTTTGCCACTGACAAAAAATAAATGCCTAAACCTAGAATCTGTTGTTTCAAGAAAAGGAAACGTCTCATCATCTGACATATTAACAAAATTAAAAGGCAAAACAGAAAAATCCTGTTTATCATCTGTAAGATATGGAAGTCTTTTTACATAAATCGTTGATCCGGGAGGTATATACATCGCAGCTTCTGATGGCTTTGGTGCAGTACCACTCCAATCAGTTCTTTTGGATGGCAGGTAGTATTTATTCTGCTCGGTTCTTGAGGGTTGATTAAAGAGCGTGTTGGCATGATTAATTACTGATGGGTGATTTTTGTATTTTTGAAGGATGGCGTAGTCATCAGCTGTTAAAATTGGAGATGGAGGGAAATTTACGGTTGTAATAGATTCTGAGGATATTATTTGCCATATTGTTTCGGAAGTTGAGGGTGGTGGTGATGGTGTTGATGGAATTGTGGAAGGATCATGGGATGAAGTTGATCTCATGTTCATTGATGAGCAAAATTTCTAACTACATATTTGTAATAAATCTGTCAAAAGTTCTAGTAAACTGTGACACATAGATTGATCAGTAATCATTCCCATTTACTAAGCATACTAAAACTTTAAATTTTTCCGCTGCATACATTATGTATCGTGTCACGGAATCTACTTGATTTTTCGACTACGATGAATAATAAAAACAGTAATCATCCACATGATGACAAATAATTCAACTTTTATTTCTAATATTTCTTATTAACGATGACGATCGGTTAATTTTGTATCCTGTTGTGTCAAGACAGACAAGTATAAAAAATGCTGACGATTTTTTTTTTACCCACAGTTTTATGTTTGGTTAAAAAAAGATTCAAAACAAACATATAATATATTTACAATCTAACTCAAAAATTTGGGGACAATGGCCGTCATTTACATCATCATGTAAGTTTAAAATAATAATTTGGTTCAATTGGGGATAATTGAATCGATTATACAAATAATGAAATAATTTCTATACCGATACTAACTTTAAAACAATAGTTACTCGTTGTACGGACACATTAAAGCCTTAGCCGAAGAAATCCAAAAAGGCATCGAAGCATCAGGTACCGGCTCAACCGCAAAAATCTTTCAAGTTCCTGAAACTCTTTCGCCTGAAATAATCGCCAAAATGCACGGGGCGAGCTTCGATTTACCAATTATCAGCCCGAGTGAATTGAAAAATGCTGATGGTTTTCTTTTTGGTATTCCGACACGTTTTGGTAATATGCCTGCGGAAATGAAGGCTTTCTTTGATAGTACAGGTAAAGAGATAATTTTACTATAATCTCACTCATATCATTTTTATCAATTAATTGATTTTTGTATATATATATTTTTTAAAAGGGCAAGAATGGGTGGCTGGTTCTCTTCGAGATAAATTCGCCGGCACATTCTTCGCTACTGGTACCCAACATGGTGGACAAGAAACCACCGCGTACACTGCCATCACCTGGTTTGTGCACCATGCTATCAACTATGTTCCTCTCGGTTATACGGCTGATGAATTGCGAGACAATACTGAGATTGTAGGAGGTGGCCCATGGGGTAAGCATAATTGAGTTTATTATCGTCATCACACTATCGTTAATATTTAACCTAATTAATTGATTTATTTATTTATTTAGGTGCTGGGACAATCACCAATAGTGATGGTAGTCGTCTACCAAGCGAAAAGGAAAAGAATGTTGCAAGAACTCAAGGTGAAAGATTTGCAAAGACCGTGTCTACCTATCTCAAGGGAAAATCATTGTAAGCTTTCAGTCAACCTCCAATAACACACACAAAAGATCATTCGAAACGCAACGATACATTCTCTCTGCCTGCTTACTACAATATATTTATTTATGCACAAGCCAATAATGTAACTTATCATTAGAACAATGACTTTTGTCCTAGAAGTTTTAAACATAGTTCTTATGAAATGTACAATAAAATTCAAAACAATTTTGGCATCTTATCGTATCCCTCGGATGTGTGTATGTGTGTGTGTGTATAAGATTTAAGTTCAAACTAAAATATCAATTAATTAAATTAATAGTTATGATAAAACTGCCGCATATACAATTCAGGAGACTCCAATCTCTACAACCACGCAAACAGCAAAAACTACTATTAATGCCGATACAAATACTAATACCGTAGCAACTTCGATGAATAACAACACCAATAATAATAACAATGTCATTACCACCAATTCAACCTCAAATTTCGTAGGACCGTCGACGACGAGTCGAGGATTAATAACAGAAGAAAATAAATCAGAAAAGAAAAAGAGATCGATGAAAGCTTGGTTTTGTTGTGGATGTATTTGAATAGTGTTTTCCAACGTTTTTCAATGTTTTTTATTATTATTAAGTGTTTGTAATTACCTGCAATAAAATAAATATGTAATGGTAAATTAATTAAAAATAGGCATAATACAATGAAATCAATGGTAAAAAGATAACCTAACACTAGAAAAAAGAACGTAGTAATTAAAATAAATTAACTATGTACACATTATTCAGATATTAATGACAATCAATTTAACAATAACGAATCTCTATCCGTACGCTTATGACCATGAGAATATTGTCGATTTGATGAAGTTCCCCCATCTCTATAATAATCAACGTGTAACTCATTAGTCTTTGCTCGCAATTCCTTGACTTTTCCGATCAATCCTTCTATCGCTTCACGATCAAATTCACCATCATTTGTATTCGCTTCTTCTCGAATTTCTTTCTCAAGATCAGCCAATAACTCATCGAGAACCTCAACAGGAAACATTTGATTATTGTTGTTATCATCTGCCCCAAAAAATTTCGATAAGTTTTGGATGTCTTTGAGGCGATAGTGTTTCCCTGATGGTGAAGATTGATGTATTGGAGGTGAAAAGGATGGTTTACCAGTGGAAGGTGTCGCAGGTGCAGAAGCAATATGTCGATAGGCATTTAAATTTATTTCATCATTGTTGTGAGTTGAATTTGTCAAATTACTCTCGGCTTCATTATCATCACTCTCAAACATATAATCTATTAATTCGTACATGACTTTTCGATCGTTCTCAAATAGATAATCCAGTGACATTATACTACGACGATGTATATCTAATCTTGATGACGTTGATGCTCTTTTGGATGAAGATTGTGATATTGGAGGAGATGGGGTTTGAGGATGATGAACTGGCGTTGATGATATGTAAAGATCTTGTGGAGGAGTTTCTCCAAACATTTTCTTTAGCTTTACAGCTCTCTTTTGATGTAGTTTCTTGTCTTGAGCTAATAATTTCGCATTAACCGGTGGAGAATGAATTTGATCAGATGTATCGTAATTGCTAGTTGAAGAGGTGGTAGCGGGGACGTTATTATTATTGTGTTGATGCTGATAAGAAATACTTTGCTTCTTTGATGAATGTAGGGAATTTGATCCTGTCTCTTTATGTGATCTGCTTCTTATTGCTGTAGGTGTGGTTGGTAACGAACCATAATCATCATCTTGACCCAGCACCACGTGAACAGGAACTTTTTCACCAAGAAATTGATGAAGCTTTTGCAATTTTTTTCGTCTATACTCCTTTGTGTCCTTGAGAATTAATAGAGAAGCATGTGGTCTATTAATGTAATCATTATTACGAATTGATGCATCCCAACTTCCAGATTCACGGTTTGCTTTATTATGACCTCTGTTGTTCATATTTGACGAATCATTCTTTTGCGGGGACGTAGCAGCAAAATAAAAGGAGGATGGTGTCGTTAATGGTGATTGCGTACTAGTCGACGGAGTTGAAGGAATCATTGAATCTGAAGCTCTTCTTAATTTTTTCCGATATTGTCCCGACGATCTATAATTCTCATTATCTATTGACGCAGCATTATTAGTAGTTGGTAATGCGAGTGTTTGACGTACTAATTCTTCGTCCAATGCCTCACCGAGCATCAGTTTAAGTTTTTGACTTTTCTTCCATAATATTCTACGATCTTTTGCACTGAGATCATTGATAGTAGTCAGATGAACCCCATCGTCATGATTCGAAGTTAAAAATTCAAATGATGTTGGTGATGAAGAAGTCGGATTATTCTTTACAGAATCGATATTTTTGATTGTGGTGGAAGAGTTTTTCTTTGATGGTACCGTAGAGGAATTTTGATTACTTTTTTGCGGAGCCTCTTTTTTAATGATTTGCTGCGAATACAACTGAGATTCTTTCAAAGTTTGACCAAAGATTGACTCAAGTTTCTCAACTTTTTTCTTTCGATTCCAAACATCTCTGGTGGCTTTTCTATTAGCAGTCAAAACTGACGTCACACTTGTCGCGTCCTCATTATCGTCCAACAAAAGTTCTTTTGCTCTTCCTCCGACGTTATTAAACTGTCCAGGCATCTTTGCAAGCTTCTCACCGAAGACCCAACGTAATTTTTTCTCTTTCTTAATTCGTCGCATACGCTGCGCGGTGGTCATTCGGTTCTCGGAGTTGAAGTATCCTTGTAGTGCGGGCGGGGCAAGAATTTCAGAGTATCGATGAATTTCGAGTTTCTTTCCCGTACCGTCCGATAATATTGATTGGGGGAAATATTGTGATAGGATGGAGTGTAACGTTTGCTCTTTATAATGATGTGAAATGAGAGCTGGTGCTGATTCCTCATTGTCAAGTGACATTGTTACGGCAAGCATTAGATTCATGTTTGGTCGAAAATAATGTTCCAGTGATTTGGTTATTTGATGTTGTTGATATATTTCGGGTTCTATAAAAAAAAATGGTTTATTTAATCATTTTTTTTATTGTGACATTAAATTTTTGATTAGTATATTAAGAAATTAGACGTACCCTCAGTTTTGATTCTTAGGCATTCTCTCCATTCTTTACTCTCTTCAAATCGCATGAATGTATGACCTCTCATCAATTGATATACAGCCTCTTGGGCTTCATCAAACATGTCTCTTTCTATCACACAGTCATCGTCAAGTGGCCAAGGAATTTCGCGTCTAATTTCATCGCTCAAATTAACTTGCAATGGAGCATTCGGACTAATATACGTCAAATAAATATACTTTGCATGTATCAGCGCGGTTTGTTGTTCATCAAAATAATTATCCTCATCGTCCGAAGAAATGCCTGCGGCAAAAAGTTCAACATCAAGCCAAAACAATGGATTTTCAGCTGAATATTCACTGATAGTGAACCGTTGAAAAAAATTCAGAGCCAACGTGTTTGTTAGTATCGATTGGAATCGAGCTTCTGATGCTTGAATTAAATTTTGTATGTGTAATGCGGTGGGGTTCGATGGTAGTGTATCAACTGAGGATTGAGTAGCTGATGTGGACGGTGTCGGAAGAAGAGGAGACGTTGATTTATCGGAAGAATTAATGAATGATGGTTGATTTGAAACTGGAGAGACTTGAGGGATTGGCGGAACCGGCGGCGCAGATGAATCAACTTGAAACTGACCATTTTTAGTAAGACTATGACGTTTACGATTTAACATGATTGGCATACTATAACGACGCTTTTCTTTGGGATGAAGTTCTGAAATTTCTGCAATTTGCCTCTCAGAAATAGGATTCCAAATTGAGTCATCCTTAGAATCTTCTAAACTTGTGTGTTCTTCAAGATCCTCAAGTTGATCCCTGAGTCCACTATAACCTAATCAAAATCAATTAATATCAGGTATAAAAGGATTTGAGGATAAAACAAAGAAATAATTACCGTCATAAAAATTCAATACATTTACAACATCTCCATGCTCCAAAACTTCGCCAACTATATCACGAAAACGAAGAGCAACCATTCCAACGTCGTATAGCAAGCCCACTTCAAGCGGCTCATAACTACCAACTCGCTCAATTCCACCATATTTGAACGCGTATTCCGCCTCGATCTGTCTGGCCAATCGTTCCACCGTAAATGTTTTCTCGACGGTAACCGGAAAAGAAATCGACGGTGAGATATTCGCGTTAATTTGTAAAAATGAAGAAATGTGTTGTATGGTTCGCGATAATCGTTTTTTTTGGATGTTTGATAATCGTTGGACGGAGCGAATTGAATGTGAAGGCGATAGAGGAGGAGGCGCACCACTACTTTTTCCATCATTATTATTATTGTTGTTGTTGTTGTTGTTATCATTATTATTATTAATAGAAATATTGTTAGTAATATTATTTTTTGAAGAAGATGCTATTGAATTTTTCGAATGTGTAATAGTGGGAAATATGGCTGCGGAATTGGACGTTGAGCTGGAATGCCTTATATCATTTTTTATTTGATCACCATAATATTCACTATCAAATAATAATGGTTTCGACTCAATCTTCGATGAATTAGTATAATTATCCCACTCACTATCATCAATATTTTCGTATAATAAATGATTCATATGTTGAATACTATAATTATTATCAAGAGATGAATTGTTATCAATTTTTATTGATGATGACAAAGAAGATAATTGAAAGGGATCTTTAACATAAATATTTATATACCGATGTGTACTCGACGAGCGAGAGTGTGTTCTGCTCGGGGGTTGTGATTGTGATGTTTGACTGGGTGGACGCGATTTGTTTGTCGTCGAAGTCTCAATTTGACTTATTGAGCGCTTGTGTTGTAGACTGGAGGAGCGCACAGGATTGTTTGTGATGGGGGTGGTCGTGTTTGGATCCATTCTTTTTTATATTAAATAATTAATGTATGTATGCATGTATTTATATGTATATACAAATGAATTTTTTTTTGGAATTAATTAAAAATTTTTCTATATGTTTAAGAACAAAAGTGGTTTTCTATTATTAGTATTGATTTAAGAATTTGTTCGTTTTTCTTTCAAGAACAACGAACGACAATTGATATATATATTTTTATGCTTAATATAAGTATTAGTAGGATATTTTAAAATACAAGGAGAGACAAAATAATATAACAGGGGAAACGAAGTAACAATATAATATACAATACAAAAAAAATTCGAATGAAACGAAAGAAACGAAACGCAAAAGAGAAGAGAGTAGCAACCTGTGCTTATGTTTCGTTTTCGTTCTTTAAGAAATAATAATAATAATAATAATAATAATAATAAAATTAAGAAAGTAAATGATAATGAAACAACAATAATGTAAAATAAGCACCGAGAACTTTTTTACTTTTTAGCTTTAGTGCTTTTAATGATAATGTTGATGCGAATTAGGCAATCTAATTACTAGTAAAATGTAAAAATCAACTTGCACGTTGACGATAAAAATTTAATTCATTTCATCGTCACATTTTTGTGTTCTCGGGAAAATTATTATTAAACAGTAATAGAGTGGGATCGACAATCGAAAAGACGCACACAAAGCATGAAACAGATGAAAAGATTAATTATGCATAAATTAACTTGTGATTGGCCAATATTTGACATAGTGATAGTTATCTGCATATCTATAAATAACAGTCAGTTTGTCCACCTTTTTTTTTTTCAGTTCACAATGGAATACTTTGAAGTCAATAATTTTAACAATTGTCTGTTTGTCTCAAACATTGATTTAGTGAATTAGTTTAACCACTGTTGCTCTCCTTATATACACACTTCAAGTAAACACTGACATAGAGACACACGTCATTATTATCATTGTCATTCAATATAGTTTAAGATGACCAGTTACTTGATTTATAATGTCAACTGGACCTAATAAATAAATAAATAAATAAATAAAATAAATCAATCAATCAATCAATCAATCAAAAGGATCAATAAAATATCATTGAATTAACCCTAATAGAGATTTCTTTTTTTTTCTTTTCTATTTACCGGGACCAATTCCTAATACAGTTATTGTTCCTGGATCAACTTGAGTGTGTCCAGCGTCCATTATGTGCTTTGCGCATAATCCAAGACTTAGTGCGATTGCTTGCAATTCTAGTCTATAAGAGATTAAAAAACTATTATTTCCATCTCGTCAAAATACTGATAAAATCAGATCACTCATTTTTCAAGAAAAGGTGTTTTTCATTTTTTCCTACAGTTCTGTTTCATCCTTAACTCGCAATGCTACTTTCATTTGTCCGAATCTTTCCCACACTTTAAGCATCTAGATGAAAAGATTTTATTCATTAACCTATATTTTATATCCGGAAATTCAAAGTATTCTTCTTCTTATCTTTATACCTTCGGATTGGATGCTCGCAATGACTTATAACATGCGAGCGTAGCATGTGAACACTTGAGAGATAATTAAAAACTTGAGCTCTTGAAGGCAACCAATTACTTATAAACGTGTTATCTTGGGATTTACTCACCTGTGCCGCCACCTTGCCTTTACTCATATTCAAATCATTACGAACCAACAGTACCTAAATTGAATTCAATGATAGATAGATAGATAGATTTTACATTAACATCTTTCTCACACGTGAATAATAAAAAATTTTTGTAAATTACCAATTTAAAATTATCAAAATTATCAGGATTTATCTGTTGGTCATCGGGCAGCATTGTTTCAGAGTCGCTACTGCCATTACTATCGTTCTCGTTGCCCTCCTTTTTCCTATTATTCTGCCGACTTTTTCGCTTTTAAATTATTATAATTTTTAAATACTTTCTTTTTTTCTGTAAGTTAGTTGGTGGAATTTTACCTGAGGTATTGTGGAAGAGGAGGTTTTTCCAATAGTGTAGCCGACAGCGAATACAAACCCTGTAAAGGTAAGCCAAGCTACGGTAGAAAATGAACTCATTTAACAAAATATAAAGTGTAGAATTTCGGTGTTCCTGTGATATCTGAGCCAATCAGATGATTTAGCGCGTTTGATCTACATTTATTTATTCTACTACCAGGTTACGCGCTTCATAATTCTGCGGATTCTGTTTTTTTAAAGGACAAAAATTGCCAAAAAACTCTGTTTCTAAACCCTTCCACGATGAAGCAGACCTTGATTCCTACTCGGAAACAAGTCACAAGAAAGACAGCCAAAGTTCAAGAAACAATGAATGCGGCAAAGGCAACAATAAATAACAGTTTACGAGAACTCGGTCAACTGTTATTAAAATCTCCCAAAACTAATAATGATAAAAATTATAATGATAATGAGAATAAGGAAAATGAAGGGGGGCCAGGAGCAGGAGGCAGCACTTTGATCAATTTATCGAGGACCGAACAAGAAAAGATACAAGAAATATATAACGTTACGATTGAAGCATTAAAAGTGCTTCAAGATCTAGGATCAAAGCAAATTGAAAAGGGAAACAATTTTGATATCGAAAAAGCGTATTTAAATCTAATGACGAAAATGATTGAACTGGAATTGGTACATGAATTTTTTCTCGTCACTTTAATCAAACGCGTTTATATAAATAAATCACTTGATTGACCGTTTAATTAACTATTTCTAAAGTACGATAATGCGCTTGAAACTGCGAAAATACTACATAGGCGACTTTGGAGATATTGTGGACAGAGTAGCAATTCAACCATTACCAAAACGTCTGGGCGTAAATTATTACAGCAAATAAATGTCAATCAAAACGAGCCTTCAACATCTTCAGAACTATTAACTTTATATCGCGAATTATTGTGTTTTCCGCTTGATTCAAAAATTGATAACCCAGAATTAATAGCGGTGTTGTTAACCAGCCAAATAAACGTGCTACGATGCTTGGTTGCAAGAGACACCAAATTAATCTTGGTATGAATTTATATAAAAAAATTTCTTCTTCAATTTGAAAATAAAACTAATTCGTGATTGTTTTGAATTCAGCATCTACCCATAATTTTTAAAGCTCGAAATAGTATTTTTGATTGGTGCGAACGATTAAGACACTTGGATGTCGAGTTGGCCGCGAAACAGTATTCGGCGCTCGGGCGGATTATTCATCGAGCATGTCATCAAATACCATCTATTTCTGGTATATATTTTGCGTCCATTTTGTTTTGCATCATATCGAGGTTAATCAATTTCTATTTAGATTAATAATAAACGTAATTTTGTGGTAAAATTTAGGTGACAACTCTTTAAAATTCTTACAATTACGCGTATTTTCTATGCAAGCGTTTATCCATACTAGTTTATTTGTGTTGGACGTCTTTTTCGAACAAGCTGTTAGAAGTGGAAAACATTTTGAAAAAGCATGTCAAAGTCGTAAGTATTGATTTCTTTTGCAAATGACGAATCAAAGATAAAGTTTGATCATCGATTTTAATTAAAAGCACCAGCTATGCTTTATCAACACTTGTCGAGAGCATACGAGGAAATATACGAATTAGTGCGTGCTGCATATCACGAAAAGTTTTCACAATGTCCCCGATTTTTTGTTTGGCTTGATCATTATGCGTATGCTGCAAAAAAGGTGAATAATAAAAAACCGTTTTTTATTATTCTAGCAATCAGCAAAAAAATTTATTCATTTTGCTTCATTTAGGCTAATGGATATAAGGCTGCCATATCCGTATATCGACTTGCTTCCCGTCACATGGATACGATCAAATATGCATCGTTCAAGATAAATATATTATATCATGCATTTGAAAGCTTACTTTGCGACGAAGGTAATTTACAAGTATTGCTAATTTTAGAAATTCATCATTTTGAAAATATTCCTTTTGCTAATTTATATAGGGATTGACGTGTGTGATTATCTTGACGAAGTCAAAGAAATATTATTTGGATTGACAAAGTCTCTTCCCTCAAAATCATTGGATCAGGAGGATTTTAATAATTTTTCAAACCTATTTAAAACATCCGAAATTTTTAGGGGCTCATGCATAAAAATTTTGGATCTTTTACACATTAATGAGAATCAAGTTACTGCTACAGATGCGGTCGCCAATCATTCAAAAAACAAGAAACAACTTGTATTTATTAAAAAAGAGGATAAAGATCGTCTATACTTCAGTATTTACAACATGAATCATCTGGCCACCGAATTGCTAAGCTTTTTCTGTGAATCTCATTTCAATCAATACAAAGTAAATGAAAGTCTGAATTCAAAGATTCTTTTTAACTTTCAAATCTGATGTGATTAATATATTTATTTATAGGAATATTTCAAAGCTTCCCCTAATTTATTACTACATCCCGACAAACTCTCACTTATTACAATCCGCATAATCGAACTCTTCATCCGCACAAAGCTCGATGTCTCTCGACTGAATGATGATGATGATGACACATATCCAGCGTCTATTACGTATATCGAAAAAGCAATCAAAATTGCACGCAATACTTCCGGTTTGGAAGGGCTACATTTCGTATCAAATATGTATTATTTGATTGGAGGGTTTTATTACAAAAAAAATCAGTTTCGAATAGCTTTGGAATTATTTCAGAATGCATGCGCCACTTTAAAGGAGTATCTTGATTTTTTGAGCAATAATTCTTCCATCGATGATGACATTAAATTTGAGATTGGATCAAAGTTAAGCAAGAGATACGAGGTTTTAGGATCTTGTCATGATTGTTTGTGTGAATATCAGGTACTTTAAGAGTTTTATAATCCTTTGATGAGAACATAACGAATTTTTTTATAATTTTTTATTTTTAGAATGCTACAAGAGCTTTTGAAAATTCTTTGAGATTCATACCGAAAACTGAATATTTAAGATTCTCGAAGCATTTTACAACAAAGCCGGTCTTTCTCGCATCCAAAGAGTTCACAGTAATACCTCAACTGATCGATCGATATGTTAAATCAACATATCTAAACTGTCCAGATACACCATTTACACCAACTCATGAAATTATATTGAGTATGGTTGAAGATGGTATTGAAATAGCTGGAGTGATGGAATATGAACTTCATTTGATGAAAAGATACCATCAAAAGATAGATTTGACTAGAACACAAATGGTATTATGCGATAAATTACTGGAATGGTATAGCCAAGATGAATATCCTATTAGAAGGGCTAGGTTTGTTTTTTTTTTTTGATTCTCAAATTTTTTTGATATTTAATATTTCATATTCTATTATTTTTCAGAGTATTGCTTGAAAAATCCAAATTATTAAGACGATGCGAAGACTCTTCCCAGACGCAAAATGAATTAATAATTTTAACACAAGCAATCGAATTATTGAAATCTGAAGTAAGTGATATATTAATAGCGAATTTTCTTTGCTCATTTAATAAAAATATAAGTTCTACATGGAAGCAGAATTATAGTTTTACGTGGATTCAAAATCCATATAGAGATTTAGAATCCTTCAGGCAACACTTATTTTATCTCGGCACTAACCCTAACCTTAACTCTGATTTGAATCAATTCCGAATTCATATGATATTGTATTTATTTTTCTTTTTTACTAGGAGCTCTCTCGCGATGAAGGTCTTTTGGGATTGCGACAATTCTATCTTGCTAGCGCTTATGCTTGGTTTAGCATTGTTTCTCAGGAGTTTAATCAACGATTTCCTGAAGGTTTTAAGATAGCCTTAGCTTTATGGAAAGGTATCTTGGCGCATGTGGTTCCTTATGGTAATGGAATTCCTACGACAAAAATTTCAATGGATCAGATTATGTCGATGATAGATGACGTTGAATCATTTTATTATGAGCTTCGTATCCTTTTTCTATTCTCATGGCATGACTAATGTCATTATGTTTGGAAAATGGCAAGCGAAAGTATTTTATTTTCCTTACAATTTTAATTGAACTTTAAAGAAATGTTGGCAGATTTTTTTGGAATGTCAAATCAACCTATCAATCATATTTTGACCATAAAATTGTTATTGAGGCTCAATAATGGAATTAGGGATTCTTCACGAGAACCATATTCAGGTAAGAACTAAACACTGCAGGTTTATCTACGACATAGAGATTCCCATGAATCTAATGGTATAAAATAATTTCAGACTGTATATCACTCTATAATCAAATGGGCCATATATACTTAACCCTTGGATACACAGGTAAAGCTGGACTTGCGTTCTCTCAAGCGAAGGCAATCATAGACTCGATCAGATGTACAGAAGAAGTTAAATTGACTTGGATGTTAAGCTATAGTCAATATTTGTGTAGTATTGGAAATGTTAAAAAAAGGTAATTGAATTTTTATGTTAATCATTAATATGAGGATTCATTTTTTTCCAAGCATAGATTTAATTAATGTAACTTTCTTAGTCTCCAATATTTTAATAATGCCAAAATGTTGGCAGATTCTCGGCTTCCTAAACAGAAGTCACTGTCACGCATAAATCTGGCCAAGCAGCGACACCGTGAGCAACTTTTATTAGCAGATGCATTTTTTACGCGATCGATCATTTCCATGCGAACAGTACATATTTGATGACTTAGATTATTAATATTATATTATATTCAGCAATTGTTTTCACATTTTTGTCTATCTTTTTAGGGTTTATTGGAAGAAGCTATCCTGGATTGTAGAAGATTACTTCACCTATTAAAGCGGCTGATAACCCATATTAATCGTGATGGTGGATACATTAAACAAGAAAGAGTGATCGAAGAGAACCCATTTCTCGAAGATACCTCGACGACAGGTTCTTTGTCTGACCAGTCAAAGGAACTTTGTAGATTAATTTCATTTACTGCACAAAGATGGCAGTGGCATATATCAAAGGTACTCTTCAGATTTTTTTTTGAGGCCGCGAGAAATAAATTACTATATACCCTTAAGATTTTTGTAAAACAATCACCGCTTATTCATCTTACTAAAGAATTATTTAACCATCCACCATCACAATCACTCAGAGACTCCTGGATTGCTATGAATATTTGGGAAGACTGTACATTATACGCGGCTCTGTCAAAGAGGCAGATTTCTTTCTACAACAGGGTTTGAAACTCGCGAAATTGAGTAATGCTTTCACGGCAATGAGTCGGTCGTTGTTAAACCTTGCAGAGTTTAATTCACGGAAACATTGTTGGGGCGAATGTGAAGAAAAGTTAGCGCAGGTGTTAGTATATCAAAATGACGTAAGTTTTGAGAGCGGAAATGCTTGATATTATATTTTCATTCGAACTAATAAGTTATTGCTTAATATCTTTTGTATAATATAGGGAGACACCATTCAAAAAGACAAAGCTATTGCAAAATTATGCTACGGTGATTTGCGATTCAGACGACAAGAATACGATACGGCTCTTCAGTTCTATTATACCGCCGAAAATATAATTACAGATATTATGAAAGAGGAATATATCTCACATCTAGAAAGTATTGAATTAAGGTAATACAGTAGTAAGATATTAATTAACTTTCATTGATTGACGAAGATTTTTTTAATAAAGTGCCATGCAAACACCTCGGGCCAAGAAATTAATATCGATACCTCCGATGACACCAAGAGTCAAGATCGTGGAGCAAGGTATTTTTGCTTTGACATTTATTAATGATTTTAATAAATAGATGAAATCAGAAAAATTTAAAGAATTAATCAATATAAATTTCTCGTTTTTAGAGGTTCAATTCGAGTGCTTTTTGCTTAATCATATTAAGGCAGATTTGTTTCGTCGTGCTGGTATGATTTGATAATAAAAGTTGAATGTTGTTAAAAAAATCAAATTCTATAGAATCATTGTGCTTAAAAAATTTGCTTAAACAACAGGTCATGCCCTAAGCAAAAAAAGAAATATTGAGCAAGCCCTTGACATGATCGAAAATGGCAAAGTTATTAATCAATCACCCCTGGAAAAAGTCATAGCTATTCTTTTAACATTTCCTATTGAATTGAATTCTCTTGGTCTAGATCCATAACTGATACCTTAAATGAAAATTATAGGCAGAACATTATTTGGTATTAGGCAAGATTAAAATCCAGCATATACTTTACTTGTTATCACAGCCTGCTTTTTCGGCGCTAAAAATAATATGCGATTCTGGTATAGTACCATTTCCTCCATTTTAGTTTATTATTTAATGAAAATTATTAATTCTTTTTTATTATCAAGTTCTCTCGCTACCCCGAAATAGAATCATACCAGCTCGTCAAAACACAGAATACCTGAATAATATCACGCTTCAAATTCGGCAGGCAACCGAGTATCTGACTAAAGCGTATGATCACGCCTTCGAAAGCGGTACAACACAAACATTAAGCGAGTCTGCTTTTGGGCTTGTGAAGGCGAATATGATTGAAGTGTACAGTCAGAATTTAAATAGTGCGGAACAAGCAAGGGTGACACGGGAATGCGCTTTTTATTTGGGTAAGTTGTGTTATTTGAATAATATATTTTTTTTAGGCTATTGATTTTTAATTTTGTTATTTTTTGTAATATAGAAATGACTAAAGGAATAGCCGCAAAAAGAGAAATGATCACTGTCCTCTCCGAAAGATTGATGCCAGAATACACTTTTGACGACATGAAATGGCCGCTCATGATTTCTTCTAGTAAAACGACTGCCTCTAACATTGAAGAACAACACGTAAGCGTCAAAGCTTCAATAAATGATGGCGACGAAGACAACATGATAAACTTTACAAAGACTCTACACGAACTCTACAAGAAGGAAACCGACATGACTTCTGATCAATTCCAATCAGAATTCGTAGACATATTGCCTCCCAATTGGACAGTCTGCACTATTTCTATTGATGTAGAAGGTGAAGATATGTACATATGTCGTCTGCAACGCTCACGCCCTCCTTTTATACTTCGATTGCCCCTGAAACGGCAGTCCAACCAAGAGGATTGTTATGAGGATGATTATGTGTTTTCGTATGAAGCGGCATTAGCTGAGTTTAATGGTATCATTGAAGCTAGTAATAAGACGTTACAAGATTCCAAATCTTTGCAAACGCAGAATGAAAAGATGGAATGGTGGAAAAACAGAGAACAATTAGATCATCGGTTAAAGGAATTACTAACAAACATTGAGAATTGCTGGTTCGGTGGATTTAAGGTAATTCAATCTATATGGTGTTAATTAATTATTATATATTAAATTTGTGAATCTATATTAGGGTATCTTAATGACCAATGATCAAGACGATGATCTGGAACACGCAAAGAAATTTAAATGCAAGCTCGAGAATATCGTAAACAAAAACCTAAAAAATATGCTCACTAAGAAGAATATCAAAGAACACGAAGGTCAATTGCCATTACTCAATATTGATCTTGAGCTATGTCAAATGCTTTTGAGGTTAGGCGAGGACGCTTCCTACGAAGACATTAGCGATTTCTTGTACTTTTTACTTGACGCTTATAATTACAATGAAATTCGAATCGCCTATGATGAAGTTGATATAGATCAGGTAGGTATTAAATAAAAATTCTTTTTTTTCGCCAATATTATTAATAATCATATGCTTTTATTTTAATGACGTACAGCTCTCAATAGATCTGAAAACTGCAATAAACCAGTTTTGTTTCGACGCCAGTAATACATCATATAACAACAAGAATAATGGTGTTGCTGATGATCATATTATTTTGATCCTCGATAAGAGTGTGCAAATGTTCCCTTGGGAAAGTCTTCCCTGCTTACGATCAAAAGCCGTTTCTCGATTGCCCTCGTTATCATTTCTACGGGACAGGATATTAATGACTCAAAATAGAAACCAATTCAGAAATAAAATAATCGCAAAATCCAAAGTTTGGACCGATTATACGATTGATCACCGAAACGCATTTTATGTTCTTAATCCTAGTCAAGATTTTCCAAATACTCAGAAGCAATTTCAGGAGTTTTTTGAAAGGTAATGCATTGTATATATGTCATTTTTAACTTGAGTGCGGTTTTATATCTATTCAATTATTTTTTTAGGTTTGAAACGTGGGACGGTGTTATTGGACGTGCTCCGATGGATTACGAATGCAAAAATGGACTAAAAAACCATGAGCTATATTTGTTAGTACATTTTATTCGATTGTGTGTGTACATGTTCCCGGCATTTTTTATATATTAATTAATCAAACTAGGTATTTTGACCATGGTGGTGGAGAACAATATATTCGTAGTTATCAAGTGCGTCAACTAGATTATTGTGCTGTTACATTATTAATGGGATGTAGCAGTGGTCATTTGAAGCCTGCTGGAGAATTCGATCCATCAGGGATCGCATTAAGCTATATCATGGCCGGCTGGTATAATAAGTTAACTTTATATGATCTTTGATTATTTCACGCTATCTAATTGTGATGCTAATAATTATCCTTAGTCCCGCGTTGGTGGCTAATTTATGGGACGTTACTGATGGCGACCTTGACCGGTTAAGTAAATCTTTGTTTAATAATTGGTTTATCTGCCCCTCTCAAAAAGTTCCCCACAGCCAAGTCAATGAGCCTGGATCATCTACTGCAGTGCAGACCAAACAAAGCGTATCTTTAGTAGACGCCGTTTCCTTAGCAAGAGAAAATTGTCGACTCAAATACTTGAACGGAGCAGCAACGGTTGTATATGGTATACCGTGCTACCTCAATTCTTCGAATTCATCTCACCACTATTTATTGGACATTTCAAAAATACATGGATAATTTGATTGTTTATAGGGCAAGGACTGTAAAATAAAGTTGTACATTATTATTTACTATAGTTTTCCAAGCAATAAAATACATATCAATGAATACGTTATATTTTTGGATAATTTAAAGTATCGATAATAATTAGTATCATATACATCTTCTATTTTTTTGTTTAAGTATTAATAATACAAATATTTTGATAAGATATATGTGCGTATATAATAAAATCTGGCGAATGTAGAAAGAAACACGAAATTGAAAAAAGCAAAAAAAAAAAAAAAAAGAAAAAAAAACTTAAGCAATTAAGAATGAATCGTCAATAAGCCAACACGCGAGACAGTAGTAGTGATAAGTATGAGGTATGTGTGTGTGTGTGTGTGTGTGTATGTGTGTGTGTGTGTGTTAAGGAAGGCATCGGATGGTGTGTTAGAGTGTGTATGGTGAACACGATTCGTTCCTGTCTTTTCTTCTTTCTCTGTTTGTTTCTTTAGGAATCCATATGATCCATCACCCCGAGCTCTTATAAACTTTGTTGTTGTTGGAACGTCTTTGGCTATTCGTCCTTTTCACACTTGATGATGATGATGATGATGATTGATGATTGTTGTTGATAACACAAATAAGTTATATTATATTATAAAGTATATAATGAATAAGATAAATGGTACACAAGTATAAATTATTATTAATGTTTTATTAATGGGTTTAGTTTTTACTTGGCTGTCGCCGCCGGCTGCTGTGTATTGTGATTCGCTGTGACTTGAAATGATTTCCGGAGTTCAGTGAGAAAGTCGTTGCCGTTTACCATTAGGTTTGCTTTTTATGTATATTATTAATTATTATTTAAGTGATTTATGTTAAGTATTCATCTCACAATTCTAAATATGAATGATTTAATAAATTCTAAAGATAATTATTACCTCGTTGCCCCCAAGCAGGTTTATTGACCGGAGGACTATAAAGTTCTGGTTTTTCTAATGATTGCCAAGGTTTGTTTTGAATTGAAATCATGATATCGATGATAACAACAATAACAGTCATAGTCACACTGATAATTAAAAATAAAAAAAAAATAACGATAAAAAGACGAAATCCCCGTACCAGCTTCAGAAAGATTAATATCATAATGTCTAGCAAGTACTTCATTCCAAGCTATTCATCAAAAATGTTATATATGTAGAGTAAATAATTGACCCAAAAAATAATAATGGTTTGTTTTTGCATCAAAAAAATCATCTTACTATTATTAAGATAGGTAGTAACTTCCTGCGCGTTGAAACCATTAAGTGGAACATGCTCTTGCGTTGGTCGTAAGCTTGGTAACGCCGGACCAGATGCAAGGGAGGAAGCTGTTGTTGATGTTGATGATGATGTAGATGTTGTTCCGATGGAAGGTGAGGATGAAATAGCCATAGTTGGATTCGGTGGGTTGTTCATTTGAAGCTCTTGTTTCTTACCTACATTTTCCCCATTCAATTACATTAATTTAGACTTAAAAAAAAATTCCAGTAAACATCAATAATAAATAAATTAACTAACCAAACGAATTCTTTCGCTTCGCATTAAAATCTCGTCTATCTGTTTGCTTTTTATTAAAACTTCAAAAGAAAGTGAAAGAAATTTAAATCTCACGTCTGGATTACCCATCACATTAAAAATAATGTTGAGATACAATAGTAGTCAAAATCAACCAATTTACCCAGCCATTTTTTGTTGACTTGTTAACCGCATGAGGAAGTATGTTTGTAGGTGTATTTGTTGTTATTTGATTGTTAGTCGGAACGGTATCGATTGCTTTGATTTGATTTGATTTAAACAAAAACTTACTGTCTCTCTTCTTCCCGAGTAGGACCAGCCATAATTTTTTGTTTATGTATGATATATATTTTTAAATAAATATATATATATATATATATATATTTATATTTATATATTTAATTTTTATGCAATATAAAATAATATATAATATGTATATTTATAGATAATTTACGAAAAGAACGAAATGAGCCCGAAGCTTAGGCAAGGTAGAGATCACAAACAACAAAAAGTAACTCGAACTAAACCACCATATTAGTTCATTAAACAATGAGAGTCATGTGATGTGATGTATCGTGACGATAAATAAGGTAAAAAAATTCGTATCTGTCACTTCGACAATATGACACAAAAGTTACCGATTTTCGAGGTATTAAATAAAAATCTAAATATCGATATACAGAATTTCGTAATAAATAAAAATTCATAATCAATAAAAAAAAGGTTTGTGTGGATTCAGTTTCCTCGGCAATTAATGCAGGTAATCATATAGAAAATAATTTTTGATTGGATAGGATGATGATTAAGCATTTTAACTTATTCCAGAAAAAGAATGTGCAGCCCGCATTGAATTATGTGATAATTTAAGTGAGGGTGGAACTACACCAAGTTCAGGTGGACAGTTAAACTCAACAACATTTATTTTACACTGTTAATGGACCCTGATGGATTATATGGTCATTAAACAATTTACTAGGAATGATCGCGACAGTTCGAAAATATGTTAAAATCCCAATTATGGTAAGGCAGGAAGGAGGAAGGTTATTCTTTTTTATTCGAAATAAAACTAATATCTTTCATCCGTAAGGTGATGATAAGACCCAGGTAAATAGATTTTTATATGATAGTAGTTTTTGCTAAAGATAATTGAAAAAAGTGACTTCTTTGTTTTTAGGGGAGGTGATTTTTGCTATAGTGATCACGAATTTGAGGTTATGTGTGCGGATATCGAACACGCAAAATCACTTGGAGCGGATGGCGTGGTTTTTGGCATTCTCCTAAAAGACGGGCGTATTGATGTCCAAAAGGTTTCGAGGTATGTGTGTGTTGCGTGCGTGTATTTTTTATTAAATTTAATGGTATTATTCTTTTTAAATTCCAGACTGGTCAGTCTAGCCAAGCCCATGTTAGGTTAGGTTTAGTCTATTGTTACTGTAATTATTTTTATTTATATAAACCTAATTTTTCTTTCAAGTGACATTTCATAGAGCGTTTGATATGTGCAAAGACCCGTATCAATCACTCGAGGATATTATTGCGATTGGTGGAATACAACGAGTATTGACGAGGTTTTGATAAAATAAATGAATTAACAATATTTAATTTCACGAAATATATAAAGATAATAATCAATTACTTTAATAGCGGCTGCGACAGCACAGTATTAGAAGGTCTCGAAAAAATAGCGCTTTTAGTAGAACAAGCGAGGGATCGGATAATCGTAATGCCTGGCGGAGGTATAGATGTATATATGATGCAATTGTGGTTGATTAAATTTTTTACTCTATAATTTTAATATATATATATATATGAATCTTGATGATAATAACACACAGGGATTCGCAAGACAAATATAAAACGAATACTTAAAGAAATCAAATTGAAAGAAATACACGTATCAGCTAGTGCATCTGTATCTTCATCAATGGAATATAGGACTGGGAATGTTCATATGGGCAGGTAAATAACAATCATCAAAAAATCAAAATTACTGATGAATGCAAATAGAAAAATTTTAACCTTTATTAAATTATAGACCCATCTATAATGACGAATTCACAATAAACACGATAGATCGACAAAAACTTCGTGATATGATGAAGACTGCAAAGGAAATTAATTAATTTAACATAATTTGTCTCTGTCTTACGTTGTATGCCTTATCCGCTTTAAATTTTAGAGCATTGTTAGCCCACATCTCTGTTATAATAAATTTTTAAATAATAAATTATTGTGTGCACCAAGGTCAACTTTACGTGATTATAACATGTCTTTACAAGATATTTATTCTCTAATTGACTTTCTATTGGTAATAAGAAATTCATATGATTCTATAAAAACTTTAGGAAACTTAATAACCAAATAAGAACAAGATATTTTTATGTTTAATGGCTGCCAAACTTTGTTAAATTCAAATATAATAATCCTGATAAATTTGATAATGATAACAATTCTATCAACAGCAACTACAAGTAATAATATGACTTTGCAAAATGCTAAAACAAAATACTGATATTTTGGTGTATTGTTAAAGATGAAATAATATGGAAGAGTATAACTTTATAAAAAATGCTAATTTACAAAGCACAAATATCAATTCCATCGATTAGCGAGACTTGTAACTAAGCAATCCTCTTCCGCAGGGCAATCTTGTGATATTCCCACGGAGCCGCTCTAAACAATTTGCAACACTGTTTTCTTTGCGATTCGAGCTTGCGCCTTTCTCAAAAGCATCCTGGTTACCCCATGTTCGATCTGGACGTCCACATTGCAGGAAATGTCGATTCTGCGCAGAGATATATCGTCAATAAATAATAGTTTTACAATCATAAACTGGTGGGTTTCCGTAACTTACTTCCCCGGCAGCAGAATTCAACTTGGAACGGCCCTGGAGGGTTCGACTCGATGATCAACTTTCCGGAAGCTGAGTTGTCCGCAAATTTATCCTCGATGGATATGAACTGATCGTCATCAGCAACGGCAATCTCAAATTCGGTTTTGTCTTTGATACCCGGAGTAAGCAAAACTATGCAGAAAGCTTGTCTGCGACAAGAATTAGATGAGTCGGACACGGTAATCTACGATTAATCAATTAAAACAAACCTGTCTTCGTAGAGCCTATATGCAACGTCGGTCTTGTAATCCTGCGATTGTTCAGTGGATTCGCCAAGTTCGCGCGTGGCAGATTCCTTGCTGTCTCGCGTCCGTTTTGGTGAGTTGCCAGTCACCTCCTCTGCCATCTGGGGTTTTAGCGATATAAGCTTGACTCAAATATAGCACTTGCAATGATATAACAAAAGCAGTTTACCAGGGACGTCGTTGTCGCTCTTTCTCTTTTAGATAGTGTGGCAACGCCCAATGCCTTCAGGTTCCAAGTGAAAGGTGAGAAAGAGTATTGAGCAACGTGCAGCAGTCTGTTTAAAGAGCTTACCTTCCCATACTCCACTAGTCTTTTAGAATTAAAGTATAATGCATGAGAAAACTCTACATTGCCATCTCTGCCATCTGGTCCATCAAAAATCCTCTCCTTCATTGCGTGGTAGAATTGAGCAGCTTCCATGTGCGTATCGAAGTGAAGATGGCCATATCTAAAAATTTACCAGCATGTCCATAAGTGAAACATTCTAACAGATTTCAAAAAGCTACCAACACCACTTACCCATTTTGCAGCTAATATGTCGGAAGGGAACTGGACTAAATGGTTTTAGCCATTCTTAAAGTTGGGTACAGCTGAAGCCACAAATCTTCCTCCAATCAATACTGATTGCTCTGGTTTCCCACAGTATGAGAAACTGCGATAGGCCGGAGGTGAAGATGTATACTCTGTAGGACGGAACATTGTTAAGAAGAGAATTAATGCACTCCAACGAATGGAGGGTGAATCACTCCAACGAATGGAGGGTAAATGCACTCCAACGAATGGAGAGGGTGAATGCACTCCAACGAATGGAGAGGGTGAATGCACTCCAACGAATGGAGAGGGTGAATGCACTCCAACGAATGGAGGGTAAATGCACTCCAACGAATGGCGGGTACAGTGTCGGCCAAAGGTGATTTCTCGTGACCCAACGTTCACACTATGATGCATAACATCAATAGCGATAGGGGATTATATATCAATTCGAATTATGTAAAATCCAGATCATGTCAATCTGAATTTACCTAATAATTAAAGCTATACAACTGAACATATTATTATTACAAGATAATTTTTTTGTTTTTGTTTTTTTTGAATATTTGGGAGTGATTGATTGATGAATAAGGGATGGAATATTGATTAAGAAAAAATTATGTTAATAATACAAGTTTAAAAATATATTTATATAAGAAATATAAAAAAAAATCAAATATATTTATGCAAGAAATATAAAAAAAATCAAATCTTATATATAATAATAATCAAAAATAATGCAATATTCAAATCATAATTTTTAAATCATTATATTTCTTTCAAATTTAAAAATATTAAATTATAATTGATATGATTAAATAACATAATACTATAGATTAATATATTATTACCGTTTTAAGATTATGCGTATGTAATTATTTTAAAATGGCAATAGTGACTATGTTCACGGCAACTGTTTACTTTTATAGATCCAAGAGGGTTATACAACTAACTATCTTCTAAATATGGTAATATATGTAAGATTTATAACTGATGAATTATAATTATCTTCTCAATAAGATAATTTATACATGTTTTACTTTTAACAAAAATATGATTATCTTCTCAATAAGATAATATACGTGAATTTACTTTAACCAAAATGCTCTCTCAATAGAGCAAGAAGAAAATAAGATAAGATATAAGATAAGATATATGTGTTTATTAAAGAAAAATACTAATTAACTACTCTTAACTCAGTAGTAATTACTTCTACCAAACTTAATTA